CGTTTTTGGAATACATTCACAGAGAGTGAGAGAAAAGCTGTTGAATGTTGGTTCTGAATTGATGCTAGACAGGGCCATAGACATCGTTAGTTCTCACGACTTAGCACAAACCCAGCTGAGAACGATGGGCAGCAGCGCGAGCAGCGCGAGCAGCGCGAGCAGCCCGTGCGAGAGCGCGGTACTCGCAGTTCAGCGGGAGGCGCCGAAACAGGCAGCTCGCGGAGTGTGCCTTGTCAGGGCTGAGAAACCCGCCCGAACTGGAGACTTGAGACCGGAGTGGGGAGCAAAGTGCCAAAAACAGTGTGGCTACTGCGGAAATAAGGCTCATTGCGAATAGGACGTTTGCCCGGCAAAAGGCCAAGCAGTGCCTAAAATGTGGAAAATGTAACCACTTTGCAAAAGCGTGCCGCTCCAGACGAGCAAAAGGAGTGCACTCCGTGGCAGAGAATAAAGCAAGTGGTGAATCCGAAAAAACGTTGAGCTCTACGTCGATTCAGTGTCACATGAAAAACAGACCTCTGACACTGAACAGATTTTCGTATACATTAAAATAAATGCACAAAAGGTTATAAAGTTTAAGTTAGATACAGATGCTCAAGTTAACGTCATTCCTCTGCATGAATATGACAAGTTTAAAAGTGACGTTGTGCTACAGCCCACATCTCGCAGACTGTCAGGGTATGGCGGCGAGACACTTGCTGTAAAAGGCGCATGCACTCTGACATGCAAGTACAAGGACAGAGAAATGTGTCTGGACTTTTATATTGTAGACACTCATGCACCTCCAGTACTCGGACTAAAAGCATGTTAAGACATGGACCTTATTAAACTGGTCTTATCTGTGACCACCCCCCCCACTGAGACAAAGCCAATCTTACAAGATTTTGCAGATGTCCTTACAGGAATTGGGCTTTTTGCAGGTGAATGCACTATCCACCTCAAACCAAATGTAGTTTCTGTAGTATACCCACCGAGATGCATACCTCTTGCACTCGGAGCCGTCTTAAGGAGGAGTTGCACAACATGGAGAAGTCCGGCATCATTGCCAGAGTCACAGAGCCAACGGAATGGGTTAATGCACTTGTGGTGGTGGAGAAACCTCGCACAGGTAAACTCCGAGTATGCCTTGATCCAAGGGATCTGAACAAGGCTATCAAACGTCCACACTACCCCTTGCCAACATTTGAGGACATCAAAGTTGGCTGGGGCACGCTATTTCAGTGTCCTGGATGCAAGGTCAGGTTATTGGGCTGTCAAGCTCAAAGAAGAGTCATCAAAACTAACCACGTTCAACACGTTGTTTGGGCGCTACAGATTCCTACGCTTGCCCTTTGGGGTAATTTCAGCTCAAGATGAGTTTCGGCTGAAAATCGATGAGACATATGAAGGCCTCGAAGGCGTTACAGCGATTGTTGATGACATCTTGGTCTATGGGAGAACCAAGGAGGAACATGACAGGAACCTTCACACTATGCTACGAGGAGCGAGGAGTCTGACTCAACCCAGAGAAAAGCACGATCTGTGCCACTGAAGTCAGCTACTTTGGACATTTCCTCACCGTGGAGGGGATCAAGCCAGATCCAGCTAAAATCGCTGCTGTGAAGAACATTGAACCTCCCAAAGACAAAGAAGAGCTTGAAAACAATACTAGGCATGGCAAACTACTTACAAAAATTTCCCCTAGCCTGTCTGACATCAACGCCCCACTGCGTCACCTCCTAAAAGAATCCAGTGAGTTTGTTTGGGATGCGCAGCAGGAAAAGGCTTTCCAGAAGATGAAGGACCTTATCACAAGGGAACCAGTTCCAGTTCTTGGATACTTTGACCCCAGCAAAGAGCTCCGACTTCAAGTGGATGCATCACAGCAGTGCTTGGGTACTGTTCTGCTACAAGAAGGCAAGCCCATTAGTTATGCATCTAAATCCCTCACAGAAAGTGAAACAAATTATGCTCAGATTGAGAGAGTTATATGCTATCCTGTTTGGATGCAAGCATTTCCATCAGTATGTCTACGGTCGTCACGTTGTTGTGGAAAATGATCACAAACCACTGGAATCTATCATGAGGAAACCATTAGCAAATCTGATGTTTCAGACTTAATACTCAAGGGCTAACCTTGAATTCAAGCCTTCAACCTCGCCTGTACTGTCTGTATTTTCCAGGATAATTCAAGATGTTTAAGAGCACATCCATTAACATGGAAAACATTTCTGGCTTAACTGTATGTGATATCTTGAATGATGAAATCTGAGGTTCTGATAATTTTTTGCACAGTCTGTCAGAACAGATGCAGAGTTACAATGGCTTAGTTGCTCATCTGTTGGGTCAATGTATTTTGGCTCTCAGTTATGACAAAGTCATTGTATTTTTCAAAAGATTTGGATGCATTTAAGCCATTAAGAATAGAGACCCTTTTCCCTTTACCAAATATGAATATTTTTATCGGTAAATGAGAAGCTGAAGCCAAAGAATATAAGTTTATATTTCTTCATATTTTGAAGTCTTTATTTTATGTGTTTAGTGTCTGGAATGTTCATAATATGTTTACTTTTTAAAATGAAAATTGCAGACTGAAGATAGCAAAACCAAATTGAAACACTATGTATAAAGAATTCTTTACAGTATATTAAAAACCAATGCACCATTGTGACAGGTTCTCAATAAATGGAGTTCAAGGTCTTACTTAGAAGAAACTTTCCACACTAAATTTAATATTCTGTCCTTATTTGCTTGACTTCATATTGAGGTTTCTAGGTTGATATTCATGAATATAACTATGTGTACCCTTGTATTGCATTGCCCCTTAAAGACAAATTCATAAATCACCTATAGCCAGACTTCAGAATATGAAAAACGTAATTAAAAACATAATATCTTAGACTTACTTAAGTAGCTACTTTGTAAATAATGATATAATAATGTTATAGTTTTCTTGAAAATATCCTTAAGTTGTAAGATGTTTTGTTTAAAGAGAGCAGAGCTACTGAGTGAGAATCAAATAGGTTTTTGTATCTTGGAATTGGTGTGATACCAGGTTTTCTGGGTTCTGCTCAACTCTCTGTGGAGACCCAGGAATCTTTGAAAGCTAAACCTTGTAAAGAATCTCATCATTAAGTCAGTAAGCAACCTGACGAGTTAGCAAAATACTTTGAAACTCCATTATCTTGATTGCTTAGCAGAAAAAAGCGGCCTAAACTCACTTTGCTAAATTAACACCTATTAAGACAATACAAAAAATACAAAATACAAAAAATATACTAATGTATTAGTTACTAAAACTAACAAATGGGTACATGTTTTTTTTGTTACATTATTTTGTATTTTCATTTTCACAATATGGTTTGGAAAAGTAACACAATCTAAAAGTTTTATGAATATAGACCTTATTGTGATTAATATTTCCGAATTCTTTGCTATCCAGTTTTATCTTGATTTGCAGTGTGCTGCTGACAGGATTTCTTTCTGCCTAATTTGTTCATGTTTTAGCATCTTACTCAAGGCTTCCTGCTTTGTGTAGCTATTGTGCTGTAGGTCTGTATCCTGTTTACTTCAAGAGAGTTATGACAATGTACATGTATGAAGACCACATATCAGTTATGTAACCAATTACGATGGGGAGCTTTTTACAACTATTATGATGCTTTTGAAAAATTGTGTTGATTTTACAAGTATGTTACTGATAAAACATAAAGTTAAACATGAAATACAAATATTTGGCAGCTGATAAGAGGTCTTAACTGCACCTGTTAAGTTTATTCCTTCTTTTATCCCTCTCCTGTGGAACTGTCTACCAACAGATATCAGAACTACACCCCAACTACCTTCCCACAACCATGGAGGTGTTACTTTCAACACCTGTGATCATCTCTCTCCCCTGCATTTAATCTCATTCTTTATGTCCACTTTTGCAATGCCCCATTTTCAGTAAATTTCTAAATGAGTTGTCAAGCTGTATTCAAGTCCCAATTCCCAAAAGCCAAGTCTCCTGTTACTCCTGTACAATGTCAGTTGTGAAGCCTTCATGTCATATGTTCATTAATAACAATAACAAGGTGGCTTTATTTTCAGAACAAATGTTCAGTGGTCAAAGACCAGCTATAAATTGCTTTACATTTCCTATTAAATATCTAATAATTATATCAAATAGATTAATCTCTGAAATCTAGTAAATAGAAAGAAAAGTTAGAATGAAAAACAGAAAAGACTGAAGCCAAAAAGACATTGAAAGATGGCTATAGCCACCAGGATAGGACATAAAATCCTGAAAAAAAACACTGGACTGCTCAAGAAAAAATGAAAAACAGCACAAAAGATGTGCAGCCACAGTATAGGATCTTTGTTTCTGACTATTATTTAACTGCAGCTTCATGACTGGCAGTGTTTGAATTAGTGAACCTTCTGTTCTATTGCATTTCTTCAGCTGAACTGTTCAATGTGCATTTCATTTTTATAAAGTCTTAACTCCTGAGTCCCAGCAGCCAAATCTCAAATCACTTCTTTCAAATTTCAAATCTTAGAAAGAAGTCAAGTTCAACTCTCAAGCTACATGTGAACAGCTCTGCTAAGGCTAACCTGTATTTGGAATCTCTAGCCCCTCTTATTTGCTGTAGTACTTGTTCTGTGTTTGGAATATTGATATTGCTGTACTGTATCCTATATACTATGTTTATCTTTATTGTACTTTATGCACTTTTGTTTGTGATGTTAAATTATATGTTCCAATTGACACATTGTAATTACCACTGTACGTGATGCTATATGTTCCTCTATGTTATGTTACCTTTATACAGATATATTCTAAGTTTGGGATTTATTGTTACTATATTATGATCTATTACGTCCACTTATTGCATTGATTGTATGCAGTTGTAAATCATCCTGGCAAAGGGAATATGCTAAGTTAAAATAAAGTGGTAATTGGATAATGTGTAACAATGCCCTAGTCTTTAATCATAGAAATGAGTGCATTCATTAATCTTCTGCTTCTTTTTCCTTTCTAGGCTTGGAATCTTGAAAACGTGGCAAGAGATAGACGTAATCGGCACAGTTTCAATATTTCTAATCATGGCTTCTCCTAACCAACGGGCACCAGACCCATGATGTTGAGTTTGAGTGCTACAGACTGCCATCTTCCCCTCAGACCATCTTGTTACTATGGATATTACTCCCCCTATGTCAAAGACAGGCAGCTTTTTTTGTTCTCCAAGAGACCAAGCGTACTGCTTATTTTGACCATGAGCAGGACAGAGTGGACAGCAGCTGTTAAAAACAGAGAAAGATGAAATTTCCTTTCTTTTAGTGTCTGTCAACGAGCAACTGAATAGAAAGGAGAGGAAAAATATCTAAAATCAAATATTCTAGCCAGGAAAAGGAAGATAACTTTTGTAAATGAACTAATTAAGAATCTGGTATGGCGTCGGATCCACCGTGATTCTTACTCAATGCATACCTATAAATATTTCCTCACTCAGAATACATGACGGGGTATACCATGCTTCGTAACGGTGGTAGTTCGGGGAATGGAGGCCAGCCATGGGTACTGCGCTGGTCAAACAGGATACGGTTGACCTGGTTGAGTTTCACCCTATTCATAATCTTGGTCTTCTTCCCGTTGATTGCCCATTACTATCTCACTACCATCGATGAGGCTGAGGAGGCTGGTAAGCGAATCTTTGGGCCTCGGCCAGGCAATGAGCTCTGTGAGGTGAAGCACGTGCAGGACCTGTGTCGGATCCGCGAGTCGGTCAGCGAGGAGCTGCTGCAGCTGGAAGCTAAGCGGCAGGAATTGAATGGAGAGATTGCTAGGCTCAACCTGAAGATAGAGGCCTGCAAAAAGAGCATTGAAAATGCCAAGCAGGACCTCCTGCAGCTCAAAAATGTAATCAGCCAGACAGAGCACTCTTATAAAGAGCTCATGGCCCAAAACCAGCCCAAGCTTTCTCTGCCAGTCCGCCTTCTGCCTGACAAGGATGACACTGGCTTGCCTCTGCCCAAGTCCATACGCTCGTGTAGACTCCACTCCTGTTTTGACTACTCACGCTGTCCTTTGACATCTGGGTTTCCTGTGTATGTTTATGATACAAGTAGCTATCCCTGGGGTGAAGGCCTGGACCCTTTAGTCAAGCAAGCTTTTGCAGCATCAGCCAAAAGCAGTATATATGTTACAGATAACCCCAGCATCGCTTGTCTGTATGTGGTCCTGGTTGGGGAGTTACAGGAGCCATTCTCCTTGAGTCCAGTCGATCTGGAGAAGCAGCTGCATGCATTGCCATATTGGAGGACAGATGGGCACAACCATCTACTGGTGCATCTCTCTCAAAAATCCATGACACAGAATTTCCTTTATAATGTCAGTACTGGTCGAGCAGCTGTTGCCCAGTCTACATTCCTGGAGAGTCAGTTCCGAGCTGGTTTTGACCTAGTCGTATCACCGTTGGTTCATGCTCTTTCAGAACCAAACTTCCTAGAGGTTCCTCCCCAGGTTCCAGTAAAGAGGAAATTCCTCTTCAGCTTCCAGGGGGAAAAAGTGGAGTCACTGCGAAGCAGCCTTCAAGAAGGACCTCCGCGCTCATTTGAAGAGGAGATGGAAGGGGATCCTCCAGCGGATTATGATGATCGAATAATAGGCACACTTAAGGCTGTGCAAGACAGTCACTTAGACCAAGTACAGGTGGAATTTACCTGTAAGAATCGTCCTCGGGCCAGTCTCCCAACTGAGTGGGCACTCTGTGGAGAGCGGGAGGAGAGGCTGGAAGTGTTAAAAGCCTCTACTTTTGCTCTGGTTATAGCACCAGGGGACAGTCAGGTGGTGGCCTCAGCTGGCTGCAATATGCGGCTCTTTGAGGCATTAGAAGTGGGCGCCATCCCAGTTGTACTCGGTGATCAGTCTAGGCTACCATACCATGAGATGATCCGCTGGAGTGAGGCAGCTCTCATAATTCCCAAGCCACGTATCACTGAGGTGCACTTCCTTCTGCGTAGCATTTCTGACAGTGACTTGCTGGCAATGCGTCGCCAAGGTCGTTTTCTCTGGGAAACCTACTTTGCTACTGCTGAGAATGTGTTTGGAACTATTCTGGCCAGCTTTCGGACTCGTATCCAGATCCCTGCTGCCCCTATCCGTGAGGAACCAGCCCAGGAAATCCCACATAAAGCGGGAAAGGCAGCAGGGACAGACCCTAATATGGCAGACAATGGTGACCTGGACCTTGGACCAGTGGAAACGGAGCCACCCTATGCCTCTCCTCGCTATCTCCGCAATTTCACTTTCACGGCAGCTGATACCTACCGTGCCTGGAACCGCCCTCCAGGGCCTTTTTATCTTTTTCCCCACACCCCCTTGGACCCCCTCCTGCCCTCAGAAGCCAAATTCCTTGGCTCGGGGACAGGGTTTCGGCCTATTGGAGGAGGTGCAGGTGGCTCTGGAAAAGAGTTTCAGGCAGCTCTGGGTGGTAATGTGCCACGGGAGCAGTTTACTGTGGTCATGCTGACCTACGAGAGGGAGGAGGTGCTGATGAACTCTCTTGAGAGGCTTAATGGACTGCCTTATCTCAATAAGGTCGTGGTGGTTTGGAACTCTCCCAAACTACCATCTGATGATCTCCTCTGGCCTGATATTGGAGTCCCGATTGTGGTAAGTGTTAGGGGAGCCCACATTAAATAAAATGGCTGTGTTAGCACTTCCCACTTAAGGTTTTCAGATGTTTGTTGTTGCATTCCAGATCAAATTCACTCTCATATTTACAATCTTTTCTAATATGTTTGTGTCTGTGGTGAAATTGTAAGCACATTAAGCGAGTGGTTAATGAGGGAAGGCAATTCTAGGACACTAGAATACTCCTGTGATTAGTACCTAAGATATGTGTTTGGATTCTTTAAAATTAGGACGTTGCGTGAAAGCAGGATTGAAAGAACACAAAAGTAGTTCATCTGAGGGCAGACAACAGCTGTGTTGCATTTTTTGAGGTTTTGAAGATTACGCAAATAAAACTGAAAAGGCAGTTTCAGTTTCAAATGTTCAATCTTTAGTAGTTTTGTTTTTAAAATCCATTAATTAGGGCATTGCTTAGATTTTACCACCCTAATTAATGGATTTTAAAAACAAAACTACTTATTAAAATTCATCTTCTCAGATCTTTAAGCCACATTTTAAATGTAGCTAGATGTCTTGGTTTAGCCTTATCAAGTCACTAATTAGTTCTGTGAGAGGTTGTGTTACATAGCCTATATGCCCAGAAAGTTTCTAATCTCTGCTGATCTTTTTCCGTTTTAAACAGGGGGTGTGAATTGACATTATCCCTGTACCAAGTGTTAAATTTAAGAACTGTTCTTTTTTTAGAATATTGTTTCATTGGCCAGTTGTCTGGAATTTCAGTGTTTGGGCTTTTTCATAACCTAGATTGTTTATTAAGTTTAGTAAGTAGTGTTTAAAAAATGAATTTCCCACCTGTGTTTGGACATTATTAAATTGGTAACCTTTTAAAGAGTTTTAAAAAGCTGTAGTCAAGTAATTATTTAAAAAAGCTTGGAACAACTAAACAGTTTTGTTTGCTGAATTTCTTGGCAGCAGTGTGCCTGAAGCAGAACATTTTATGTAATAAGAACTGAACAAGGAAAACAGTCAAAAAATCCAAAAATAGTTCAGTAAAGTCTTGAATAAGTAATTAAGAGCTCAGTTTGAAAGAAAGCCAAAAGATGTGGGAGTCCTCTGTGACCATAGTTGATAAGATTGCAGAAATGTTTTGTGGCCCCAAGATCCTGTTCACTGCATTTTTTCATCAACAAATGACATCTTGTGATCCAAACGTCTTGTGATCTGTTTCTTCTATCTTGTGAATGTCATGAATTCCACATGATGCTCAATTTGTATGTCAAAGCATATACAGTGTTGGCGAAACTATGTAAGCAGGTAGTCCTCTGTTTTGTGGATGCATTCGCTATTTCAAACTGTATATAATGTGCATTATTTAATTCATCCATTAAGGATATTATTTTCTGGCTGATGGGCAAATTTAATTGTAAAACCTGAAAGTCTGTCTCCAGCTTTCCAGTAAATGGAGGGTAGTATGCTGTACTCTTTTATCTGCTGCTGTGAATCACCATCTTGAAATACCAGCAAAAGTACTCATGAGAGAGCTTTTTAAAACTTCAGTCAGTAATAAAAAGCACCTATGTAGTTATGTAGCACCTTGTGGTGATGTGCTTACTGACTACACCCCTGTTGTCACATTTTATGTAACAGTAAAGATATTTTCCAGTTATTTGTCTACACTGCTTTTATATTGATAATTGATAATTGATCATCAGTGCTTGGATAAGTTGGCAAAAAAGTTAAATAATTTGGGAGGCAGTTCCTGTCCTACATCTGTTCACTACTTTCTTATTGCGTGTTGAGCCTTCCTGGTCTCAGAACAACCTTCTTCTCTTTCCTGCTTTAGTGAGTGATTGCATCTTAAAATATTTTGACCAGTGCAACAAAAACAAATGTATACATTACATGTATGTACAAATTTGCACCATAAAATAAAGCTGTTCAGTTATAGAAAGTAATTGGAAGATTTTATTAATTTTGTGGACAAGAACGTAGTGTTTATAACAACTGTTTGTTGCTTCTGTACAAACAACCAAAGGAACAGAAGACACCCAACATTTTATGGAATTCTTTGCCTGTTATTTGAAACTGAGAACACTCAATAGCTCCAGTGTCAGACTGAGATATTTGTATGTTGGAATTACTCTTAATGAGCAGTGAAGAGCAGTGATGAAATTATGTTAATGTCATGTGGAAAGAAAAACAAGGCAAAAAAGTATTAATTATGAAAAGTTTCCCTAGATTTACATTTACAAGTTGGGACTTGCAACAATATCTGTCATTAATATTTCAAATCATTTGGTTGTGAACTGATTTTCACGTTAAATCTGTTCATTGTAAAATTGGCAATATGCTAGCAATTCTATGACAAATTTAGAGTTTTAAGTGGGTTCACCAGGTTTGCAGGTGACCTTTAGCTACCCGTAGATAAATGAGGATATTAAATAATAGATACAAGATCTCCCATACATAGCAAGCATTACTTGCTTCTATGAATCTTTGCAGGTTTTGAAAGTGTCTATCTCAATGTGTTAAACAATAAGTATAGCAATTTGTCAGTTGACAGTTACTACTAAATTTGAATTTGTCTGAAATATTGTACGTTTTGAGAGGTTCATACAGTTTCCCTCTTGCCTCTGCTTCTATCCCAAGGTTGTACAGACAGAGAAAAACAGTCTTAACAACCGCTTCCTGCCATGGGACTCCATAGAGACAGAGGCCATCTTGTCCATTGACGACGATGCCCATCTCCGCCATGATGAAATCATGTTTGGTTTTCGGTGGGTGTTTTTCAGTTGTTAAACACATGGAACACAAATGGCATTTTATTGTATTCTCCAATAAATCTCACATTATGAGGAGTAAGGTACGAAGAAGGAGATGGTCAGATATTTAAAATGGGACAAACGATAAATCTTATCAAAAGTGTAAAGCGTAGTATGAATGATAATGTGAGAATTATAGGAATTTGTAAAGGACTAACTAAAGAAAAAGTAGTTATTTGACTTTGGATATATGCTACAGTTGATGATAATTTGGAGATATAATAATTATTTTATATAGTACCTTTAAAAGTATCTTCTCAAAGTGCTTTACAGAACATAAAGAATACACAGTGAGAAAGATAATAGATGGGGGTTTGAAATACAGAAGCAAAGACAAAGGACTAGTTAAATAAAAGTTCTTCTAAAAAATAATGTTTTGATTCTAGATTTGAAAGAGCTCAAGGAAGGTGACTTTCTGATATCCTGACGAATGGAATTCCAGACCTTAGGGACATAGCAAGAAAGGGCCCTGTTACCCACAGTGTAGATGGTCTTGGGGGAAAGATAAGAGACCAGAATTAGATGAACTAAGATTGCGAGATGGGGAGTAGGGCAGTAGTAACTCAGACAGGTACTGAGATGCCTAGCCATGCAGAGCCTTACAGGTGACACAAAACCTGACAGGAAGCCAGTGCAAGGACCCCAGGACAGGAGTGAAATGATCACTTACACTAGACCTGGTCAGGATTCTGGCTGCTGAATTCTGGACATGCTATAATTTGTTCAACGTGGATTTAGATACTCCAGCGAGTAGGGAGTTACAGTAATCAATACGAGAGGAAATGAAAGTATTGACTAACTTTTCAGCAAAAGATAGTAAGAACATAGGAAAAAGTATGGTGATATTTCTAAGGAGAAAGAATGATATTTTGACAATATGTTACACATGTGGGGGCAAAGGTCAAGTCTGGATCCAGTATCACCACCAAGTTCTTTAATTTAAATTGAAACTCAAGTACAGTATTATCCACAGATAGGGTTTCTGCATAGCCTTTACATAGATGATGGGTTGTGCCAAGAAGCAATTTAAATTTAGCTAAATTTTGAGTTATCCATTTAATTGCAGAGATGCAATTAGAGAGAGCACAGACAGCCACATCAGTGTCAGGTTTAATATGGATGTAGATTTGAGTATCATCAGTGTAGAAGTGATCATTTAGACATTGTAATCTTGATAGCTGACCAAGCGGGAACATGTAAATGTTAAAAAGTAGGGGGCCCAGTATTGAGCTCTGAGGAACAGACTTAAGTCCAATTTCAGATCTAAAACTGCCAAGACAAATAAAGTGACAGGAATCATTAAGTTAAGAATTGAACCATTTAAGAGCAGTGTCAGAAACTCCAAGCACAGTCTCAAGATGAGACGGTAAGTTATTGTGTTTAATAGGGTCAAAAACAGCACTGAAGTCAAGAAGAATAAGGATAGAAAGAGTACCAGGATCAAAAGTCATAAGATGATCATTAGTGCCTTTAGCCAGGGCAGTTTCTGTCCTGTGAAGTAGTCGTGCACTGGATTTAAGGGGTTTGAATAGGTATTTTGCAATGATGTGGTTATTAAACAGAATTCTAACAGCTCATTCTTGAATTTTTGCAAGAAAAGGTAAGTTGGAAATGGGGCGAAATTTATTTAGATTGTCCAGAGCGGTGTTTGGCTTTTTTGGAACTGGGATAATGGCAGCAGTTTTGAAGGCCATTGGTATGACACCAGGACCCAAGGACTCATTTATTATATTGAGGATAATAGGGTAGAGAGTAGTGAAACAGGATTGAAATAAAGCAGTGGGAATGGGATCTAATAGACTCGTAGTGGATTTCATATGTGAAACCAGTTTACTGAGGCATGCTGAGTCAAGTAGAGACAAATTAGAGAGAAGGGGAGCAGTAAAACTCCCCTAGACAAGACGGGGGGAGATAAAGGGATAACATGCATTGTAGAAAGAATGTGATGCTGGATGTTGTCGATCTAGGAGCTAAACAACTCTTAAGAAGGTGTTGCAAAGTTGTGAGGCAGGTAATGTGGTAGGGCAGTTTGGCTTTAGCAGTCTGTTGATGGTGGAGAAAAGGTGTCTAGGGTTTTTATGGTTGTTCTCTATGATGAGGGAGAAATAGCTGGACTACTTCTCTACTCTATACCATCATTGTACTCAGACAACTTTGTTCACTGTTTCAGACAGTAAGAAGTTATATTACACTGATGATGTGTAACACTACAGTTTTGTTACAATTAATCCACAAATCTGCAGAATTATTTTTCATATGTTTTGTGTGGCTGAAGTAGTGCTTATACATGAAAAGGGTGAAAATAACTGAACCAAGTAATTCTAGATGAATAAGTGTTATTTCTCTTCAGCACTTTGTATATACTGTGTTTAAGGTTCTAGAAACCATAAGTGTTCTAAATGCTCAAAGGCATAGAAAAATGTAGTCTCAATGACCTCTTTAGAATCAATTAGTCAAACTTGAACCAGAGGATGTAAGTGGAAATTGCATGTTAGCAAGAAAAGGAGGTTCTGAGAACAGGAAGTACTTCTTTATACAAAGGATTATGGGAGTATGGAACAACACCACCCATACATCTTGTTTAGGATGGCACCCAGACTTTGTTCACAAAACGGCTGGTTGAGATCCTCGAATCCATTAGCTATTAGGAACTGAACAGGATAAATGGGCCCAATGGCCTCTAACTTGTCTTTTACCTTTGTTAAAAGCATTGACTGACTTAACAAAATGTAAGAAACTATTGAATATGATTTACAGTAAAATGATTTCTGATCACATAAATATAAAGTTTATTTTACAAAGATGAAAGATCCCAAAACTTGCAGAAATAAGACTAAAGTCTTGTGTGACAAAGAAATATACACTTTGATTGGCATGCAAATAAAGACTGGACATACTGTATTTTCCTTAAAATTTTTGTTGACATCTCCATCTCCCAAAACTGACTTAGGGAAGTACTATTTCAACCAGCTATATTCTTTAAAAATCTGCGGAAGTGCCTTGGGGTTTATCCTGTCTTTCCATCTGTGAATCCTGGGTCAGATATGTCTTGAGGGCCAGGAATTTGAGGTATTTCATTAGAGTCCTACAGAGAATACCATCTTGCACACCTGGACTGCCCACATGATTAGAGTTCTGGGTAGACCTCCTCCTGAGGAGCAGGGAGCAGCCAAGTAGGAATTTATTCATTTCAATTACAAAAAACACTAGCCCTGTAAATAGCTTTTCATCCCTTTTGTTAACAGTGCTCCCTTCATTTGGCGTGTCATTGTTATAATTCCACATAAACACAGCTGGTCTAAACTTTTATAGCTATAATAGCTAAACATGGAAATGTAGAGAAAGTGTGAATTTCTGGACAGGAAAATTACAATCTGCCGACCTTGCTTTTAATCTCCCTTGTAGGCACGTTATTAATGAGCGATTTTGCTAGTCTATATTTATAGCGAGCCAATATTCCAGGCCACTCAAGATGACGTATTGCTTGAAGAAGTCCTGTTTATCACACATATTGCATATTAATATGTACACTCAGTTTTGTTCTAAATTATTTTCCATTTTATTGTAAATAGACTATAAATTGTTATTTTATTATAAGATTATTTATCACGTGTTGTGCTTATATCAGCTGGATATCCAGAGTGGAAACTTTACTCCATTCAGTTTCTAGGTCAGTAGTTTAATTCTGCATGCCTCTTGGTATTATCAGAAGTTTTGACTTGCTATTAAAATGATCAATGTCAATACTGCATTAATAACTGTTTCATACAAAAAAAGCATGCTGCTTTTTGGACATTGAAACAATATTTGCTGACTGTCTTAAAAATTCATTTAAAAACAAACCTGGCATACAGAAATATTTGAATTGCAGCCATGACGTGGAAAACTGTTTTCTAAACACTTAATACACAATGGGACATTTCTATTATAATGTAAAAACTATTATTAATTTGCTAGTACTGACTGCATTACAAATTCTTGCAGTGGTCAGCTGATGTTTTTCATTTATTGTTTTGTTAATTAATTTACAACAAAAATGCATACTGTATTTTGTGGTTGAATACGTTATTTTACAAACTTTCTTCCAACCATTCAGAGATTATTCAGAATGGTGTGTTGTACTTAAAGAAGTAGCTTTCATAGTATACTTCTTCTTCCAAGGGACATATATCACTTTGGTGGGGGTGGGATTGTTGCTCAAATAATATTTTTTTTTCCCAAGTTAGGATACTGTTTTAGCTCAAGTGGTTTAAACTGCAACCTTGATCAGAAGCCATACTATCACATGACATGCAGTCATCTACAGCTTTGTGTCATAGAATTTAAAATGTGAATGTCATTAATTTAGGCTACAGATGAAATAATATAAACTATTGGACCCTGGCAAAGCTCTATTCATTAATATAAAAGAAGAAAAAATAATGTCTATAAATTCAGGTGCTGCAGAAAGCTGCTTACTGAATATGGATGACACTGGTGTGTTCCTGCACGGTTTTCCTTTGATTTTTCCAAACTATTTTTAGCTTGCAGAACTTTTAATGACCTTGGGCAGAAGTATCTCTGTGAACTGTCGTCTCCTTAACTATCAGCTCTCACACTGCATTCCACTTACACCAGGCTGTTTCACAATATAGGAGATAAAACCCCCACTAAGTAAAACATGCCTTAGGCTAGGACTAAACAGCAGGGAAGTATTGAATCGTTAAAATCTAACTTGATTTTCTTGAAAATGCATTCAAGATGTGCTGTATTAGGGAAAACGATCTGAATTATTTTCTTACTGATCCAACACTTACGAGTTGCATTTGCCACATAAAGTACTTGATTTCTGCCTTCAAATCTTTTCCAACCAATTTGTGTGAAGGACGCTTGTAGCTTTGCCAAAGTTGTCTTTTTAGAGGTGAAATAAATATAATTTGATGCATATAGAAACTTCTATAGTTATTGTCATCCAATCATCCAAAATAAACTTCAAGATTACACCTCAGTTTTTAAATCTACTTTAAAGGTAGGCTTCATCAAACTGTGTTCGGTATGATGGAGATTTAATTGTGTGGTATTTTACTTTTTGTGCTGATTAAGTATATTTTATAAAATCTTGATACCATTCACATAAGTGGAACTCAGGATCTTTATTTTGGGTTTGTTCTGAAATAGAAAGGCATTACTTTTTGGCCAATCTATACAATCACAAATAAAGTCTTGGTGCTAGTCCATGTTCAGATCTCATATGACTTTAGGTAAGGTGCAGACTGTGTGTTTTAAATACTCAATTTAACTGTTTCGTTTTATTGTTTGGAATTGCACAGCATATTTATTCAGGCTGTGAGTTACATTTCAAATTTCTCAGGTGTTTGCCAGGCATACCTTGACATTGTATTAATTTTAAGAGGGTAACATTGTTATAGTGATAAAATGATCCATCTTCTTTATGTGATTGTGGGGCCAGTGCAAGGGGTAAATGTACAGGAGCAAAATACCCATTTCACAATAGACCACAAGAGTTCAGTTATTGTAGTTTCTAAGATGCAAGTACTTGCATTTCAAGTTCACTGATTCTTGTTGAAAATCAAAAATTGACTGCTGTTTATTAAGGAATCTTAAGAGTAAAAATGAGAAGTCTGAATCTTCAGATGCTTTGTTAATGGGTTGAGCTCCTGAGATTAAAATGCCCTACCATTCCTTTAGAGAGCCTGTCCTTAGTACCGTCTCTTCTCGCACAGAATTCTGTTGTGTGTGCAGTTTATTTTCCAATATGTAAGAAAAAACATTAAGGGAAAATGTATTTCTAAGTCTAAGTAGTCCTTAGATCCAACTTATGTGGTCCTCCATTACCATATTTGAAGTAGTGTTTTTCCATGTGCCTTTGCATATGTGAATTTTATTTAATTTAGTTGCAAAGGAACAAAGTTTAAAGAAATTCACTGTCTGGAATTGAATTAACTGGGAGGTTCAGTGAGGTATGGAGCAATGCACTGTACTGGAAATAGTTATGTAAGCAAGGAAAACATGGTTCTGTTATAGACCATTAACAGCTTTTGTGTAAAACATATTTTTATGTTATGAAATTTCCATCACAGGAAACTGTTTACATATTTCAAACTCTGAAGGCTGTTTTGACAGCCAGTGACATTGTAGCATATCAGTGTTATAATAATGTCTTCCATTTATATTCTGCGTCTCATACCAAAGGATACCAAGATGCTTTTTACTTATAGGAGGGGACCACACACTCCAATAATGCTCTGAGCCTTCTTTAGAACCCTCTGTTCGTAGTGGGCACTGAGGTTTATTTGATGTGCCCTAATGATTTTTCTGGTTATCTTCACTAATTTTCCTAACCAGTTACTATTAACATTAGTGATGTTGCTAAACCAATAAGTGAGTCCAGGCCCTGAAGAAGCAACGCAGCCCCACACCTTTATACTCCCTCCACCATGCTTCACACTTGAGATTAAGTTTTGGTGTTGGTATGCAGTGTTTTGTTTTCTCCAAACATAACTCTGTGTACACTTACCAAAAAGTTAAACTTTTGTCTCATCTGTCCTCAGAACATTGTTCCAGTAATGCTGTGGAACATCCAGGTGGTCAAACTTAAGACGTCCAACAATGGGGCTTGAACACCGTTCAGTGTTTTCTTTATGGTAGACTCATGAACACAGACATTATCAAGTGCAAGAGATGACTACAGATCCTTAGCTGTCACCCTAGGGTTCTTTGTCACCTTGCACTGATCTTTGTAGGATGCCCACTCCTAGGGAGAGTAGCAACGGTGCTGAATTTCTTCCATTTGTAAATTAACTTCCTGACTGTAGACTCTTCCATGGAAGAAACTCTTCTTCTGAGGTCCACTGAAATCTCTTTTGATCGTGCCATATTGCCCTTCATCAGAATTCTGTTGTGAAGAGCAGGTAACCAAAATTGTGTGATTGTTTTTATAGGGCAGGGCAGGCCAATCCCACACCTGAATTGATTGGAATACCTGACTCCAGTTACCCTCTTTTCAAAATGTCATTATCCTAGGTTCACATACTTTTTCCATCAATAACCTTGATTGTTTAAACCATTTGTTCACTAAAGATATGACAATGTAAAATGTTGTGTGTGTTCTTTGTTAAAAAGACAGTCTTTATTTATTATTATGACTTAGATGAAGATCAGATCACATTTTAGGAGCCCTTCATGCAGAAATCCATATAATTCCAGAGAGTTCACAAACTTAATCACAACTGTAAACCTTCAGCAGTTGCTAAAATCAACTAAGGAATTATTTCCCCTAGTTGTTTTTTATTATCCTTTGTGGTACAATGTAAAATTCCCTGTTTGTGTTAGTCGTCTAGTATATTGTGTACAATTATAAGCAAGGATTGGTAACAGACATGCTCTGTTTTGAAACAGCTAGTAAAAACCCAGATGTTACACCCATTGACCGTGACGGGACAACATGATGATAGTGATAAAAAGATCCATTCTCCTAGTGTTATATACACCCCACTGTGAGGGCTAGCAGAATGTTAGTAGCATATCATTTTAACAGACTGAGTCAGATTTTGAGATGGCTGGCATTTTCCATTTTTTCTATTAACCATAGATTAATTGACCATATAATTGACGTGTTAACTATTACTGTAAGTAAAAAAAGAAAAGGTGACAGAAGAACAAAGCTGAACAATTTATGTTCATTGCTTTGTCACATATGAGCAATACATTTCTATCTGAAAACTTTAAACGTTGCCAATATGATGTGATTGTTGATTCGATCAACCTAGAGGCGTCACTACCTATGATGGATATTCTGTAGCTACACGGTCCTTAAATAGGCAGGAGACATGTTTTTAACTTTCATGCTACTTAAACCCTTTAACTGTGACTCATGCTACTTAAATGTCGCTGTTTCGTTAAAAAAATGCAGAATGGGAATTTTACATAGTTTAAAAATATATATGTTAAAACACAAGAAACAAAGCAGTTATGAAGGATTTTATTTCCCTGCAGGCAAGATAAACTGCAGACAACCAGTTCTTGTTGAAAAATGCAATTATTTTACCTTGTTATTTAGCTTCCATTATGGATTCTTACTTGGAGTGCCTTCCCTAACTGCTGTCATTCCTCCTTAAACATTCAAGCACAATTGCTGGGGACTCACACTGTTATTAGGCTCTGCATGGTTTGTCCTGGGAACATTCTTTTAATGTAAAAAAATGGTTATGAACACAGTGCTGCATTTAGAAGGGACTGACAAAAAGAAAAGGTTTCCTGTAGGCTCTGAATATTCACTTGATTATGTATGAGGTAGTTCAAGTAGGTAGCTGTGTCAGCATGCATAGGCTGCAAGGGAACAAGTAAAGGTTTATTCCATGCTGAAAAGAGAAAAAAAAAAGAATGTTTCGGCTGTGGAGCCTTCTTCGGGTGTATATATGTACTGTACTTTCTGCATGGTACCATCTTCCAGAAACTGTAGTCTAGACCCAATCACTTAATAATCACTTCTCACTGCTAGCATGGGAAGTGGTACAAGAACATAAAAAGTGTTGCTCAGCATTTGAGGATGAAATGTGTTTATTTGTACTATGTAAGTTAAGTAACTTTTTAGTCATTTTTTTGGGGGGGTGATTTGTGAAATGTTTTAATTGTCTTATAGAATGTACTGTAGCAGTTACATACTTGTCTTGAATAAAAAAAAACAGCTTAATCATAATGCATTTATTATTTAAGTTATATATTTTAAATATATATTAAAATTTGGTAATTGTTAAAATTATAGCAAAACATAATTAACAACACTTAATTCTATTAAATATGAACTGTGTGAAATGTAATATAAGTCAGCAACTAAAATTACTGGTGTTTACATTGCATTTTTTTCAAGGCTAGGATGACACAATTTGTGTTCTCTCTAACTTTGGCTTGGATTCCATTGTGGTACATGTTTCTGCTGGTTTTCCTAGAATTGGATTGAAAATCAATTAGCAGTTTCAAACTGGAGCTATACAACAGTGAGAAAAAGTTATTTTTTGCTACCACAAAGTGGAAGATTTACAAAAGCTCAGTTTTTGGGTTCCTGACTAATCATTAGTGCTAGTGTCAGAAGAAGGTATCAATGTCTGTAGTGAATTCTCATTAATTTTAAAAGCTTTCTGCACATAGGTCAAAGTTTACATAGGTCCACATATTTCCATGTATTTAGGAGTCTGATTTCTTCTCAAGGAGAGAATGTCTTGTGTCTCTCATGAGCCACTTGTTTGTTTTACTTCAAAGTGAGTGGATTTGATACAATTGTGTAGGCATTCACTATGAAATCAAGCTTTACTGACTGCGTTGAGTTAATGTTTATTTTTCTGCTCTGGATAACTTCGCTTTGTGATCAAGAAGAACAAATGAAATCAGTTGTTCAGTAAAGAGGCCTGAGATATATTTTTGAGTCATTATAAGGAAGAGAAATGTGCAATGAAGTTGAACTAGGCACTAAGGCTTGTACTTGGGAATCTGTTACAGGTATTTCAGTTTTGGTTGCTCTTTTGTGAAACATAGTTTCTTGTCTGGCTGCTGAAACCAAGACAGTTTACGTATGTCATGGGGGAAAAAAAAACGAACATTCCACTGAAATAAACCAGTGTCCCACTATACAACATGTTATTTACTGAGCTATTTGGTTACTTTTTTCTCTTTGTGTCTCAGTGTGTGGCGTGAAGCCAGGGATCGGATTGTAGGGTTCCCAGGGAGGTATCATGCATGGGATGTGAACCACCAATCCTGGCTTTACAACTCCAACTACTCCTGTGAGCTGTCCATGGTGCTGACTGGGGCCGCGTTCTTTCACAAGGTATAGACCTATCTTGTAGAGCTGCCAAGTCGAACGCTGGGCGTCGATGGTAAATTCCAACGTTTAGTTAGGTACCTTAATGTTCACTCAGCACATGCAATTGGTCTTATCTACATGTAAAACAGATTACAAATAATTATACATTTCTAGTTCCAGCATAGACCAGAGGCATGTTGTAAAGCACAAGATGAAAGATGTCATTCATCTTGTGCTATACAACAATATCTGTTTCCTCTGTTATTAAACACATTTACTGATGCATCTTAAAACAGGTTAAACACACAAAATGGGTTACCAGCAATGGAGTGGGGAAGAAGGCTAGTCCTGTTAGAGGTTTTCACAAAATCTTTTAAAGAGACCTATCACTTAAAATGAAAAATACATTTTTAAAAAGGTGAAATTCTGCATTTGCTTTTGCTTATTATTTTCTGTATTTATTACTGTTGTTGGGGAAACCCATCTTTTGATTACATTTTTTAGGGGTTTTCAGCACATTATAATCTTTATGCTTAATTTTAAATTGAAGTATGTTATCTTTTCAGAATGTACTACTAATAATCTGCCTCCCTGATCAGTAGTTAGGACACTGATGTGCAAAGTTCTGTGTAGATTATAGAAGTCACTTTCCTTGAAAACTGAGTTGTAGAGGAAGAAAGTAATACAGTTATCCATGCCACAATAGCAGGGATTTTTGTTATGTAGGCTTAATAAAATAAGCACTACATGAGACAAGACGGTGTTCATTTCTGTAAACCATTTTAAAAGCACAAGAATAAGCTCATGTTCCTACAGTCATTTCAGATTTGACTGGTAACTGTTAATCTTTTCAATAGTTTAATTTTATGCTGTGTTCCTGCGTTAGCTACCTTTTGTGGATTTTTATTGTATATACCAATGCTTGATGTTTTCTCTGAATTGAAAGTTTTTTCCATGATCATTAATTATCCTGTTGTGTTTAATGTAAATATGTTCACAGTCACACTATATTAAGAAACATTTAAACACAAATTGTATGTCCACTAATATTTCAGGCCACTTTTTTGTTCCTTCTCTGAGTCTTAAAGTAAACTTTAAGATGATTGAACTAAGGCGACACAAGCATTTAAAAATGTTCCAAGATCTGTTTTCTTTATTTTGTCTTCTGGGATAACTAGAAAACGTTTTAAGGAATTGAACCTAGGAATAAAGATGTTTGGAAAGCAAATAAGTTTAAGGAAGCTTGATGTTCTTTCTGTGCTGTCTGCAGTACTATGCCTATCTGTACTCCTACGTGATGCCTCAAGCAATACGAGACATGGTGGATGAGTACATCAACTGTGAGGACATTGCCATGAACTTCCTCGTCTCTCACATCACCAGAAAACCACCCATCAAGGTCAGTGAATAATATGCATTTCTTTGTGTAATGGTGCTTTATTTTAAAATACCAAAGAGAAAAACCCAACAATCTTTCTATTTCTTTCTGCTGAAGGCAACACCCAAGTTTTATTTTTATGAGGAGCTGACAGTGGTGGGATGCTAGTGTTTGAGAATAATGGTCAATCCTATTTTACAAAAGCAAAGATATCTGGTCAATCTCTCCTCTACATACAGTAGACCTTGTTTTGAACTGGAGCCAGGTGAATTGAATTAAAAACACATTAATTATGTGTTTTTTTCAGGTGGATTGTTTAGTAAATAGCAGTGGAGTTTAGAGGCTTTTTTATGTTGATTTTTGTTGAACAATACATCCTTAGCATTGGGTGTGCACACTCTTCCTCTTTAAGACAATGCTAGATTAAAATCAGTACAGAGCCAAAGTGTACTTGAATTTGGTTTGGAGGGGACTTCGTATAGAAGGCAATAGTGCATTTATTCAGTTTTGAGGTCTATTCTCCACTTTCTGAATTTGTTTAGAAATTCCCTGAAAGTTGATCCAGGGGTGGTCAGAGCACTCATAAAAACACCCAACAAAAAAAAGATTGTGCAAAAAAGATATTTACTTAAAGTGGTCTGTGTTGAAAGCTATTTACAAAAAAAGAAGAAATAACAAAACATTCATCAAAAGGAGAAAACTGTAGTCTTTCAAGAAAAGTTCCCACTAGCAGTTCAAACAGAATTAGTAGCACCAGGCTGTGTTCATCACACAGGCAAGGTACAATAAGCAAACCACACTGAGTCAAAGACAAAGCAACATTAGCTTGCTACACCATGAGCACCAGCTTAAATATTCTAAGGCTCCAATTGATGGATAGGAGGCCCCAATCTAATCCAAGGGAGAAACAGGCTCTGTAACCCTGACACAACATGGTGGAACAAACAGATAATGACAAGACTGTGGATCCACAATGGGTAAGACAAATACACAACAACTAATACATAAATTACCTTTTCCACAATAATTACACCAACATAAGAGTACAGAGAAGGTCAGTTTCCCATCAAACCGAACAATAGGTGAGTAAATCAACCAAAAAGATGTCTGCAGAGGTAATGTGATGAGGGTGTGCGCTAGCTCTTCATCAAAATCAGTAATTAACTCCTCTGTTTCTTTTCTAAATTTGTGTTTGTATTTTCGAAAGCAGTTGTATTCCTAACTATACGCATTGCTGCCTCGTAACCTGATCTGGTCAGGTCTCAGCAGCGAAGCAAGGCTGGTCTTCTCAGTTCTGAAAAGGTAGACCCCCAGGGAAAAGCTGTTTGCTGCTCTAAGCAGTAGTAAACTAGTAGGTTGCAGTAGGCTGATGAACCAGGATGTTCAAAACCATTGGCCCAGTATGGTAAGCAGGGACAATGCACTGTTAGAGGAGACACTCAACCTATGTCCTAGCTACTTGGTCATTAAAGCTGCCATGGCGCTGTTCAAAAGGGATGCTAATTCTGATCTCGTTTTCCTGAGATTTTCCCATAATCCACTTCTCTAATGGCATACTGTGTAGTAGATTATTGAAGTATATTATCCAGGTTAATTCCGAGTTTCACGTTGAGTGGCCCTATAAAGAGGCCTGAGTTTCTTGTTTAGAAATGCTATATGAATGCTGGGAATATAACTACTCTTATTCTCTCCCAGGTGACATCTCGCTGGACTTTCCGCTGCCCAGGCTGCCCCCAGGCGCTCTCACACGACGATTCCCATTTCCATGAGCGACACAAGTGCATCAACTTCTTTGTTAAGGTGTACGGCTACATGCCTCTGCTGTACACGCAGTTCCGTGTGGATTCGGTGCTTTTCAAAACACGGTTGCCACATGATAAGACTAAATGCTTCAAGTTCATATAGGATGCCAAAGCTCGGAGTAAAGAGGAACAGAAGAACGGGAAGCAGTGGTCTAATTCCATTGACACTTGGCCTGCAAAAACAACAGACAAAGCTCCACCAGGACACAGTGTTTCTCCCTACACCACTTGGCAGCAGCTTAATTTGCCATTGGGGGAAAAAAAAAGACACAAAACAAAGCCTTTCTTTGTAGTTTCATCAGTGACCACTACAAATTTCATTTCACACCACTTTGATTTCCTTTCATGCATTGGCAAGCACAGAAAACTTGTCTTCTATGGCCCTCAAACAAAAAACATTTTTCCTTTGAGATGTGGCAGTCACATGGCTTTTTTGTGGCCTTTGTCTTTTAGATGGTTACTTATTTTACTTTTTTAATTTAAATAAAATTCTGTATTTGTAATGGTGGGGCATGGTACAGGCATGTGTGGTGTGGGGGGAGAAAACAAACTGGTTATCGTTGCACTTTTTTTTTGTAATTTTAGATTTGTTACTTGGTGCATTCTTCAGAAGGGTCATTTCGATATTTTATTCATCAGGGTATTTTTATGTGCAAAGTGAACCAAACATTTTGCTTTGGGTCCAAGGTTGTGAGTTTCAACTATTTTCCCAATTTGCTTCACTCTGTGAACTGCAAAGGATGGATTTGGGACCAGAAACTGCATGTCTCCCTGTTTGATTTTGCTACTGTTATAAAATATAAATGATGGGTATAACATGGTCTTTGCTAAGGTTCACCATACCGCCTTCATTTGCTGTAAGAATATACTTCAGGCAAGGAAACTGCTACAAAGTTTTTAAATTGTGTTAGCTATAGTACTATATTTTTTTAACTGTAGTGAAATAGACTTGGAATATGAGGAGTGAGTGGAAAGATCCATTCTTTGTCATTTAATGGATAACAGAAAAAGCCTAAAAATTCAGGGCAACCTTCTCTCTCAAATTATGATAATCTTTTGTCTGTAACAAAATATGGTTTCCAATGCCTGACATGAATGTGTTTTGTCCCCAAAAATGTTTTCCAAAAAAGGTGTGTACACAGTTTGGGTCTAATTTTTAATGATGTGTGTGTATTGTTCTGAATGTTTCTTGTCAGGTTAATGCCAAAAGATGTAGTACATGCAGCTCCTAAGAACATAGAGTGAAAGATGCAAATTATAATAACTTGAAGGAAGGCCAGTTTAGCAGAGATAGGTATTTAAACCCACATGTCATGAGCTATCAATGAGGCTGGGTAATTATAAAGCACTACTTAGATATGTATTCAGGACCTCATTTTTACATACTGTATGTATATGGTATGCAGCATGAGCAAAACCATGCTGGATGTTTGGCCTTTAGTAAAGCTTCTTATAGTAAACAGCTGGGCAGAAAGTTTATTTTTTAAAGGCCTAATCTAAGCTCTGTTTTCAAAAGCTATGTATCATACAAGGTCACTTATTTATTTATATGTATGTAGATGTATTGCCCTCTTGCCAGTACGCTTTGAGAAAATCTGAGTTCTCTATAGATAGCAGAACTCCCAGGGCAAGCAGAGATGCACTTCCCTTCATGGCAAGATCAACTTGTCTTTCAGATATATAAATTGTATCGGATAAAACAAGATTCATTTTCTATCATTTGAAGTTACCTCAGGAAGGATTTTTTTTCTGTAGCCCTTCAGACCTACTGAAGTAGACCTTCCCTTTAGATATGTTATCTTTCTGCACAACACAACTTCAGCAACTTTTAATTGAGAATGTTAAAAACTAATTTTTAATGTTGATTACTGAAAATATGATCCCAGCTATATAAGTCTGGTTCCTTTGTTCAGTTCATCTAGAATTGATTGACCTTCAACGCCTGCTTCTATTCTGAATTGCATTCCAGCAATAATGAAGAAGGGTAGATGATAGCTGTCATGAAAGACAGACTGAGAGCCAGGTGCACAAGGCTGTTCCCCTTCCTAGGTGTTGGCAGGGGTGTTTTCACTCAGTTGTCGTGCTTGTTGTCATCTGAAGGCTGTAAATGTAGTTAGGGTTGCCTTCATGAAAACATATGACTGACTTTCAAATTGATTGTACTGATTGAGTCTCCCATTTATAGAGCAGTCATTATAGTAGTGCCAAGTAAACTCAAAATAGGTAACTTTCTACAATATTGAAACCACATAGTTGAGACCAGAAGATGCCATATGCTGTACTAGACCTAATAAGCTGTATACTTTGTAAAATATTATAGCAGCTGCATTTAGACAGGACCTTAATGACTTCACAAGAGGGCATAATGGTGATGTTTTAGAATTCCCTGTAAGTCTTTGAGGTAGTTTTTTATAGTCCGTTCTCATGTGTGTGCTTACATAACTGTGGAATTTGATGTTTATTATCCATGCTGAGTACACTCTATGCTGCTTCAAATGTCTTAGCTTGGTTGCAGTGTGTCCCCTTATCCATGATCTCAGTAGCACTCAACAACCTTTGACCCATATCACCTGTACCAAGCTTGGCCTCAGCAGTGCCCCTGTAAAAATGTAAATGATAATAAATCCCTGACATTGTTATAGACCTGCTCTATCAGTCGTAATTTGTTCTCAACTCCAGTCTTTTGTTACTCTGGAATAATGGTTAAAATATTGAATAGTTTCTGCAGATGACAGCTACTTTGTGAAACAAAGTTATGTTCAACGGTGAACATCAGTCTCAGGCTGTGCTGCTTAGAGGACTTTTGTGCTAAATTCTTTCTTTGTAATCTTTCTTTGTAATAAATGATGTGTGATGAGTGTACGGCCGCACTTAGGCTGCCATCACATCATACAGGTGGGTGCCCAGCACCTGTAAAGAGCTTTGAGTGTCCAGAGTCCAGAATAGCACTAGATAAGTGTAAGGATGATTAATGATTATCATCATCATCGATAGTAACAAAAAAATGTGTTAATTACATTTTAATTAGGTTAGCTTTGAGTCTAGTAGTTCTTTAGCTGCATCATCTTTCCACGCTCATATATTCTAGTGCAAAGATTGTATCACCTATTTCTCAGATCCAAATCATTAACTGCTTCTGAACTACACTGAAACAAAACTGAATATTACACGGTTTTAGCCTGGATAGACTGAAGAGATTTTAAGATGGGTCTTGAGATGTAGTTCTTCCCACTGAATCTCAAAAACTGTGATACAACATAGAACCCCATTTTAAATGTGCATTCAAAATTATATTCATCATTGTATACCCCAGTTAATGGGGTATATAAAAATGAATTATGAACTGATGCGTGTGAGTAAAGAACATTTTGGGGCTAAAAAATTAAGTTTTAGTAGTAATGGCTGTTATTTAGTGATGCAGACATGCTTTTGAATAACATAAAATCAGCCTGGGGTAGGTGTATGTAGGGATAAAAATATAGTGAAAGATTATATTGTTTGACTTGTTTGTCAAATGTTTTAAAGGAAGATAGTTTAAATGTGTTTGAATGCAACATCTCAGGTCTACTTGGTATTGACCTCTTAAAAATGAAATCACCTGATTCTTGTAAATCGTAAAAAGAGTATGGGGCAGGGATTCTCAGTTCTGCTCCTGAAGGATCACACACCTCACAAGGTCAGGTCAGTACTGTAGAGGGAAAACAAGTAGCTGCTGTAAAGTGGTTTTGGTGACACTACTTTCTGGACCTCAATGTAAAAAAAGGCAGTGCCCTGTTATGGTGACCAGAGGAGTTGTGCAGTAGGATGTATTATCCTTCAGATAAGATAAATTCCTAATTATTTGGTCATAAAAGACCCTATAGTACTGTTAGTAAGATATTAGGGGTGTTTAACCCAAGTGTCTTGGCTCAATCCCAATTTGATCTTGCATTAGCTGGCATATTTAAAGCCTTCCCTTAAATGTCTTGCTTCTCTACAGGGCATGCAGTATGGCTGCAGGCACACAGTGGGTATTGTGCAACACCATTCAATGGGGAACCAGTTCGTGTATTGAAGTGCTATGGGGTACTACGCGATGAATCGTGCTACATTAGTATTATCCTTAAAATTCATTTTAAATTTGCAAAAAATTGACCTGTAGGTAGTAGTCTGATATAACCTTAGGTTTAATCTAGCAATACAACATTTGAGCTATCTAATGAGTGTCTCAAAACTATATCAATTGCCAGATTAAATGGTGCAGGTTCACATCCATTAAAACCATGGGACCTGGCCTGTGCTTTCCCAGCCAGGTGTTTGTTGGAGCAAGTTAGCTATTGTAAGAGGACACGGGGAAGGGTCATCTCTAACAGGTACTTCCGAAACAAAACGCTGAAAATGCTAGAGATGGACCTTAGCGAGATGGCGGACAAAAAGAATCAGCTGACCAGTAGATGGAAAGGGTCTACCTTAAGAAACAACGAGACACAGCTGAGACGCAAGCCGGTAAGATGAATGCGTTTTGGAGGAAAAGAGTGGAAAGAGGTGGATGTTAAGGATTGGGCTAACGAACGACTGCAAGGAGAAAGGTTTATGATTTTGGATTACGGACACTGGTTTAGGATACATCGCGGATTGTCTTTATTACGAACTTTTGGAACTCGGAACGAATCAGGACTAAGGGAACGGATTACGGACTGTATTAGGAAGACAGTTGTTGGAAGAAACGCCACGGATCGGAGGACAGTAAAGTATGGTGTAAGTACGACCTTCGTTTACATAAACTATTCCCCCGGAGACACCACACTATTAAAAGCATTGTTTATGAGCAAACATTTTTAAAAAGCATAGGTACTTTGATGAATATGAATAGGTGCTTTTTCCAATCCCGAGAGATCTAAATGGGGAAAAATCAACATATTTTGTTTAAATTTTCTTAAGGCAAAGACAACCCTCAGATTGCTCCTGTTCATGCAATTTGGAAGAAATGCCACTCTTACTCAGGAATTCTTATTCAGCAAGTTGGTTTAGCAGTATAGTTGGTTATGGTACTGTAGGTGTTCCCCTAAATCACAGTTTAGTTACTTCTTTGTGGGTTATTTTGAATCGCAAAATGCTGATGTAACATTTGAGAAAGCTTATATAACACCAATTACTGTGTATTTTGTACATATGGTATGATAGATCTGGAAAAGTACTATAAAACGAGTTATTATACTTACCAGTACCTCAAGGGTCACTGTCCCTTCCTGTGATTTTTCTGATTGCCCTGTAGCTATCTCTGGGCAGTCTAAGAGCTACATTTTCTGCAACAACATGTAGATTTACAAGTGCAGTTTTTATATATTTTGATTCTATCCAAATAATCAAAACTTGTAGAGAAACTGTAAATTCTTAGTTTCATTCAAGTTAGTATACAGCTAATTATACAATCTACAAAGGTTGTCAGCCCTAGATCTTTATAAAACTACTGATCTCTTTCAGCCTATTTCTTAAAGGTTTGAAGTGATTCTAAACTTGACAATCCCCAGTGTTTTTCTTCTAAGTAGACAATTTCAATTCCAAGGATTTAAATCATGAGTCATCACTGCAAATCACTCACACCCTGTATGTGTAAAAAAGAAAATAATGAAGCAAGTTTGGCATTTGTGGACCATTGTTTGATGGGGTACAAGAGAAAATTATCCTGACAGAGCTTTGTCAAACGATTTTTAATAGTAAAAGGCTACACAGAATATCTACATCATCTACCCAATGGGCCCAATCTCATATTTTGGTCTGTTGTTGTTGTTGGGGTTTTGTTAGCATTGTGGGATATTTGACTTTAAAGAGAAACAGAATTATTTTATTTAAAAACAGCATGTAAAACATGTGCTTTAAAAAAATCCATACATACATGGCTCTTAATATTAACAATGTTATGTGTTGTTCCCTCAAATGGCTTAAGAAGTGATAACTTAAGGTGATAAACACATAAAATAAGGAGGTATGACTTGATGGTTACCATTCCCACGTTGCAATAAGTTCAAATAGAAGGTTCTGAACTGAAACAAAAATGTCTTCCTTTACTTTTTTTCTTTGTGCTCTTGAAGTCCATGGAAGACACTAAAACAGTTTATACAAATACAGTACAAAATAGCTGTTTACGACATGTGGGGATTTTATCCCAACTGCCACTAAAAGTAAAAGGTTTTCCTGTTTGTTGTAAAAATTGCCAGTCAGGTTTTCAGCCAAACAATGTTTGAAAAATGGCAGCTGCGGTGACAATTGTTTGCTGAGCAGGACTAAACAAGTGAACTGTCAAGATGCTTGGTCAATGGGTACGAGGCATGGAGAAGCGCTGAAATGACAGCAGCCTCAGAGTTTCTGCAGAAAGCGCAGCACCAGGTCTCTCAGTGTGGCTCGCAGACTCTCGTTGTTGTCACAGACGATATGCGTAGAGTCCTCCTCCAGCTGAATGAGCGTGTCTTCATCCTGCAGGTGAAGGATGTGTCCATCTGGTGTGTCCTCCACTTTCACTTCTGTGATGCCATGCTGGAACCAGAGACATAGGAGACGCATCATAGACAGCCAACGGACAGTCAAAAACCCATCTTGAATGTGCCACCTATCCAGATACTCACGTTATGTCAAACACTTCCACATAAAAAATGGAAAACTCTTCACACAGTAAAAGTCATGTCATATCTAGGCATCCAACTGATGTTTTTTTTTTTAGCTTTAGTTTGGGCAGTTAAACATCATCTGCAGAAACTGGAACAACTGAACAAATCGTTGTTGGTGAATTTTGCCTTTACCTCAGTGCAAGGCTAATTTTTTAATATAAAAATGAAAACTAGAACACTGAAATAATATTATAAAATGATTCCAAACTGATATCACATTGTAGTTACAGTTGTAGATCTCAGCAAATAGTATCTTAAATTGTTAATACACTGGAATACCTCATGAAACCTAAATAGGATGAAACAACACAGAATAAAGTGTTGATTTTAATGTATGTTTATATCATTGTGTTATTTATGATAACAAAGTCCAACTATTTATTACACATTTTAGATTCGGGGTGATAATATACAGCTGTGAAAATACTCAACTCTTTTTTAGCTAAAGTTAAAGTCCCTTGAGCATGTCTGATGAGTCAATGCTAACAACTGAGAAATGACATCTACACACTAATTGGCCACAATTAGAATCCCTGCTAATAATATTTTAGGCTTCTACAAGCAGTAAGGAAAAGTTGAGCTGGACTACCTTTGAACTTTCCAATGTATGTTGGATTCAACTAGATATTTCATTGGATGTTGGGATGTGTGGATTGTTTTGGACAAAGAAGAGAATGGAGGTCTCACAATCCTTAAACCAACTACACATTGCCTGCCACTGGGACGCTTTTCAATTGGCAAGGGGATGGTAATGTTTTAGCCAGCAAAGAAATAAGTGCTGGAAATGGAAATGATTAATTATACAGGAGTTACAGTAGAGCTAAAGGAAAGTGGCAGAGTGACTGTGTCTGTTTTCAGCAGAGCACCATGCTTGCTGAATATGTCAGCTCTGAGGAAAGTGTGCCATGTTTTCCCTAGCTGATAAGATTGAGACAGAAGCCTGATTATTTGGTAAAACACTGCTCTTCAGGAAGGACATGTTATCTTTCAAATGTAAGCATAAGACTGCATGCCAGTGAGCTTTCAATGCAATGGCACTAACTCCTAAATGTAAGTCAATCGAGGGTTGTCCAATAGATTTTTTTCTTAAATTGCCCCCCTAGGGATGAAACAAATATTTTGAATTGAATGGAATAATAACAGAACAGAGCTCTACTATACAAGACCTGCTATCAAAAAGTACTGTTACTGCTTTCTCGTTTCATTTCTTATTCCCTAAGTGTTCTGTGATAGTTGCCGCTTCCTTTAACATTGTTTTTTTCTAGACCACAAACGCTTGAGTAAAAATGTCTTTTCAAAGACAAATGTGAAGAGGGACACAGGGAAAGCCAATTAGCGTCTGAGCAGTGGTGTGGAACAGGGGTTCCCAATCCTGGTTCTAGAGGTCAACACACCAGTAGGTTTTCGATCCCACTGGGCTCTCAATTAATACATTGTTAGAATAACAATTCTCAGAACCATAGATGTAGCCTTTTAACTATTGCATCTCCTAAGTAACTTAAAGTCTCTAACCTGCTAGCAAAAAAAACCTTGTTAGTGACATTCAAAAGTTCAATTAAATTAAGAGCTGTGTCAAAACAGTGAGAATTTCTTATCTACTTTTTTCCTACTAAAATGGATTTGTTTTGGAAGAAAAAAAGGTTTTTGCTCTAGCACTTTCAGCATGACTAAAGTTAAACCAGTCACCCTAGAGAATGTATCCTCTTCCTTAAATTAATTTAACACAAAGATATTCCAGACATTGATTCTGTCCTTTAACCTATATCATAAGGCATTTCAAGCCATCTACAAGCTTTTTATTTTTATTTAACCTGTGACTGATCAATAAAGCAAATTCATAGACATGTTGGAAGATGTCCTACTGACTTATTGCCAGGCAAAAACAGTGTTTAATATTTTTGATCTTTATTCAATATCTTCCATTTTCCACGAAACAAATCAAGGATTGCACTCTCCATAAGCCCCATCTCTTATATCATGTAAAATCTGTTTCTTTCAATATAGCAGCAGACCACAAAACACCAGCCTTGATATCGATTTCGTGAAACGAGGAGTGTCAAATTACATTCAGGGCAACACGTGTTCAGATCAGCGCTTGAGCTGGTAGTCAGCTTCTGCCTGCGGACAGAAGGGAAGACAGTCCTACCTTCTGCAGAGTGGCAAGGAATTGCTCGAGAGGCACTGAACCACTCAGAAGGGGCTTTGGTGCTCGGAGTTCAGGTGCTTCCTCTACAACACGCTTCCTCTTCTTAGATGGGGGAGCTGGAGCTGGCTTGGGGGGAGGCTGAGGAGAGATGAGAATGAGCGAACACACGCTTCTTTCAGTTCCTAATTCGCCAATAATTCCTGTTGCACCTCCCAGCTCCCAACTCCACCTTTTCTTAAACAGTCCCAGAGTTAACAAATCAGATGCAAGTACGCCAACAAATGTGCCAACAATTTCTAGCTCCGTTACAATTGAATTGAAGCTAGAAATGTTGAAATAAATGAAGAAGTAAAAATTATTACACAAGTGCCTTTCAAGTCAGACCATTCTCAATGCACTTTTTACGTAAATTGTTCTTAACAAGAAAAATGTAAAGAATTATAAAATAATAATACAAAAACTGTGCAAATGATGTAAAAAAAAAAATTAAGTGAAGGCAATTAAAAACAAATGAGTCTTGTGGTGTGATCTGAAAACATCAGCAGGAGGTGCGTTTATTATATGTTTAGGAGGTGTATTCTGAAGATGAGAATTTTAAAGTTAATCTTATACGAGACTGGTCGGACTTGTTTTTGACTCAGTCAGCACTCGAGCAGCACAGTTCTGAACATACTGTACTTTCTTGGCTGATCCAGCTATCAAGCCACTGCAGTAGTCCAGTCTTGAGCAGATGAAAGCATGAACTAATTTCTAGGCATCGGCAAAATAATTTGTTTCATAAATGGTGAAGGATGTGTTGCGGACCTTGTGGATTCATAAAACACAGGCAAGAGCAAAAATCACCCCCAAGCTTTAGATGGCTGATTTGATACAGTTTAGAAATCTAAATTAAAGTGCATTTTTGGGGAAAAAACAAAATGCTAAATAAAGGCATTTTCCCACCCCTATCCCGATGAACTCCATGTAAGCTAGCACCCATAAAGAGATAACTGATACACGCAATGTGCTTAGGTTAAATGTTCTTTTATCTTTGATTCCAAACTTTAACATAAAATCACAAGCTAACCCATAGCTATAAATAACCCATAATGCATGGGAAATAAAATAGATATCTTCCCCGCTATCATTTTTTCAAAATCCTGTTAAACTGAACTTGCAGTGTTTACAAGTATTGACAAATATATTCTACAACTGGACTGACAAATGCCCTGTGTATTAAAGATAATAGACAAACTGATTATTTTTAACTCCAGGATACATGAAGGCCAAGCTAGTAACTGGACCCAATCTAGATCTGAATCAGTATTATCATGGGGCACTCCTGATATTCTGGTGTAATGTGGACTTGCTCATTTCCACAATTCTTCTTCTAAAACTCTTATAGAAAATATGCTTTCTATATGTCAAAGCAATCTGTCAAGAGCTTATGACCACAAAATATGTTTTTATGTTTGAATGCATGAAGTTTAGCTTTCATATTTAGAGTGCACATGAAAACTTTAGTTCCGGTTACCCCAGCTGTGTAATTCACTCTTTAAACTAAGGTAATGTGGATAAGGAAATCTTAGTTCCTCAGCAGGAAACCCCTTCTCTCCAGGCTGTTAGCTGTTTGACACCACTGAAAGCTGCAGAGAAAATATTTTCTTGGAACTTGTACCAACAGTTTGTTTTTCTCCTGCAGCTGTGAGTGACATCAAGCACACAACAGTACAGAACACAAGTTTATTTTGAGGAAAATACACACACAGCATTTAAAGAGTTGTAGGTCATTTATAACATTATATATTTGAGAGTTTCGGGGTTTGTTCTTAATTTTCATTTTAAACCAATATGATTTACTTTTTATACTTACAGTTTTATGTTATCTGCATTTGACACTTATGCAATTCTCTACATTAAATGTCACTTGTCGTGTCTTGAATTTTGATTAAACCTTTTCGAATTTCCATTCCAGCCACCATCTGTGAACATAATAATCTAGATTCCGGCATAGGTAGTTATTGAAAATAAGAAAGAAAAGTGGTCCAAAGAGAGAAAATTACTTGGTGCAGTTCTGTCACTATATTTATGGCCGGGTGCTATATTAGTATGTTTAAACAATGGGTACTGCTGTTGTTGTGTGAAAGTAATAATAATAATAATAATAATAATAATAATAATAATAATAATAATTGCTTACACTAATATAGCGCTTTTCTGGACACTCCACTCAATGTGCTTTACTGGTAATGGGGACTCCCCTCCACCACCACCAATGTGCAGCCCCACCTGGATGATGCGACGGCAGCCACAGTGCGCCAGAACGCTCACCACACATCAGCTATCAGTGGGGAGGAGAGCAGAGTAATGTAGCCAATTCATAAAGGGGGATAATTAGGAGGCCATGATTGGTAAGGGCCAATGGGAAATTTGGCCAGGACACCGGGGTAACACCCCTACACTTTTCGAGGAACGCCCTGGGATTTTTATTGATCACAGAGAGTCAGGAGCTCGGTTTTACGTCTCATCCGAAGGACGGCGCCTGTTTACAGTATAGTGTCCCCGTCACTATACTGGGGCATTAGAACCCACATGGACCGCAGGGTGAGCACCCCCTGCTGGCCCCCTGTACATAGACCAGAATTCTGCCAAAAACATCCTCAGCAATTAAAGGTTTTTTATGATAAGACCCCAACTATGACTTTGCCTGATAAAATAAAGTGTAATATTTGTCAGCATAATTCAATATAAAGGTATAATAAGCTTAGCTGCTATAAAGTATTGGTGAACTTTTTCAATTTAGTCTCATCTTGATGCCACATTTCCAAGTCTAGAGAATTTGTGCATGTTTCAGAGGGAGACCCATCTCCATCCAAATACCAAGCAATGGAACTTTTTCCCTCTGCCCAAAAATCTCGGCACAGTGCCCATTGGACAAACTTTGACATGGATCCAGCAGTTTCTCTCTCCATGGGAGTTCTCAGATTTCATCAGGAAATGTTACTTGGCCAAATGTGTTAATTCTGAGAAGTATAACACATTCAATATTCACATTTTATCTGTGAAGAAAAACAATGTTCTAAACAAATATATGTTCTATAATATGAACAATCATATTGTAACATGAAAGTAACAGAATATTTATTTTTGGGTGTTTAAGATTATTGTTTATGTTGTGAGACTTTATAGCGTAGACTACCATTCACCCAAGTATGGCAGTATTCCTTAGCTCTTGTAATCCAAAGTGATTGACAAAACAGCCAGATTTATACAGTATATACTTGTCTTGGTTTAACTGACACATTTTTTAAACTGTGTGAATAAAATGACATATTGTAGCTTTTTGATCTTTGTGTATGCACAGCTAATTATACTGAATGATTCCTAGTAACTATAAAAGTATTCTCTGAATGTAATGGTCCAAGTTCTAATTGTAAAAGTAAATTCCAACCATACACGTTAAGGTCCTGGGGATGATTCCTGTTTCTAATACCCACATTATGCCTGTCTCTCCTATGCTAATGTCATTAATACACTCTGTTATAAAACTTTGTCTCTTCTTAGCCAATTGTTCTATACTGATACCATATCTGTCATATCCCTTAACTTTCAACTTCAGTTTGTCCTTAGGTCATGCACACACAAGACAGTAGAAGAAAAAGTGAAAATCCAAGTTGTCTGAGGCGGATATTAAAAGTTCTCTCTAGAAATCCAGACCAAACAAGAGATAAATACGAGGAGAAAATGTCCAAATGTCTTTCAGAATATATAGGATATAATAGAATTAGTAAAGAGATAAAATTAACATGAAATCTCTGTTTCTTTTTCAGAAATATTTTAAACATTATGTTTATTTTATTAAATTGAGTTCCTGCAAACCCTACAAACAGCAGGGCCGGCAAATATTTTTGTATGAACATAACATTATGTACACAAAATCCCCTGTGCCTCAGCCTTAAAAAACAAGCATCCGAGTCTGGAACATAAAAGGTTTGCAGAGGTGACAAATACACAGAAGTAAAACAGAACATGTACTTTCCTTTACGTTATTCTGAGACATAACCTCTTGCAACAACATTCATTTCAAGACTCCAGATTAGCTGAAGAGCTCTATACAAGTGGATGGGTCTCCCTGCTGCACCTTATTCGCAGTGAAAACATGGCAATGAAACAATTCCCAGCACACTGACCTGTAATACGTGCTTGTTGTCCTTGGACTGCAGCACAGCGGAGACCGTTGCCACGGAGATGCCAGATTTAATCTCAGAGGGCACCAGTGATTTTGCGAGCTGGAAGGCAAAAGCTTGTTTCAGAGAACTCCACTGAATACATCGGGACTCCTTCTGCTACAGTGAGCAGGGAGGCTTATTTGGACTGCTGCTTGAACTTTCTAACATTGTGTAAGCAGGCCATTTCAATACTGCTCTGGATTAACTGTTTCCCAACAATTTACAGGCCACTATGGAATATTTCTCAGTGATGGTGAACAGTGCCCATTGCTCTCCCACTGTCATCTGCAGTTAAAATTTGAAAGGATAACATGTCACATTCCTGTCATCACCTAAGATACTGATGCGCAATGTTGTCCTCCTCCAATCACTAAAGGTGAGTGCTGTCTGTCCTACTGACAACCTGTCAAACTCAAACTGGACATTGTCATAATTCCATATGGTGGACAACCTCAGCAAGACTCATACTGAATACCGATTTCAGACAATCCAGCTTTTACAAGCTGCAGGCTTCTCTTAGTGCTGCATACGGACATGTCTCACTACAATAGACACGGATACAAAAGACTTTGGGTCCAGAGATGAAAAACATGGCTTATTCCAGGACCGGGGATGAATTCTAATGATTGAGTAAAAGAACTGTAGCTTTACTTAGCTATACTTGCTTGAGAAGATTTGATTAAGGTTTTAAACTTTTAAGGAGAATAAGTAAAGTTGGTTCTAAGTCAACTTCACGTAAACATTTTATTTTACAGGGAAATATTAATGCATAGAATTTGGTTTGGTAACATGTTAGGCTGAGTCAATGCAATCCTTCTAAACTATATTTGGGGCTGTGACAGAACACCTTTTTCTTCATAAACACACAGAGCCAATAACACCATCAACCCCATTAAAAATATGCATTTTATAGGTTTTAGCTGTAGGCACTCATCCATTCTTAACCAGGTGAATGCTGTTCCTGTTTTAAAGGGATAAGCAGAACTCAAATCCCCTTTTGACTCTATTACTACTGTACATCACAGACAGATGGAGCATGAAGTCCCAGTTCTTAGAATGAATAAAGAGAGCAGGCAATTAATTACAGTAGGTTAGCTGTTCAGGCATAGTTCTTTTCTATGGCAAAACAGTGAACAACCCTGTACTTTTACTAAACTGCTAGTTTCAGTAGTAGTCACTGACCAAATCTGAACTACGATGGAGAAACAGACAAACACTTTCCTTCCTCAGAATCAGAACTGAGCCAGAGTGCAAATAAAATTGATAATTTTGATCTACTGTCTACCATCTCTTGGTCTACATTCTTATTTTTTCCCCAAAAATTGACATGCAGGGTAACTTTCTCTTTTAAAATGAAAGATTTACTGGTAATGATGATATCAGAGTGCAAAAATTGACAGAAGCCGTATGGTACTTGTTTTAGTTCAGTTCTAATATACACACAAGCATTAAAGTGCAATTCCAATCTGAAATGAAATAATGAAATCAATGTGGAACCAAACTTTAAGTCTACTTTAACCATAAGAGCAAAATGTGTACACCTGTCACTGGTATGTGGAAAACTATGAGCTCATTTGTGCTTGTTGTCATTACATTTTCTTATGTATTTATAACTTCATTACTTACTCATAGTTACTCATAGTAAGCAGGAGATTATGTTGACTTACTGTCAGTATAACTGTCTAAAGCTGGAATAGATCAAACTGTCACACCACTAGAAACCCATCTGTTCCGTGAAACTATAATTAAATTGAACCATTTCCATGCACTTTCACAGTGACAGTCTTCTGATACAATATTTGAGTCTACCATAGTAGCATCTGTGGCTGAGTGCTAAGTTTGACCCCAGGAGCAGAGACAGCATTCAGAACCAGACTGCTGTTTATAAGCTTGTTTTAAAACATTCTTTCATGGCTCAGATATGTAGATATGCCTACTGGAATATAAAAATAAAAAGATATACATACTCCATTATAATCATATTTTTAATTTGTCTATTTAAAATTTAAATTTAGTAGATTGATTTACATGTTTAACTAAAATCCTGCTAAAAGTAAAAGCTTTATGCCAATATAAGACAATTCACAATTTTAAAAAGGTAAACAGAATAAAGGAAGCCCTATTTTGTACATCATCTCCTATCTGCCATAAGAATCAACACAATTATGCAACATTCACTTCCTGTGAGCAGCTCAAGGAAGAGGCGGTGATCTGTAAGGAAAGCTCAGCGACAGGCAGTAATGTACTTGAGCTACGAAGCCCGCTGCCTTTCCACAAGCCAGCCATGCCCATGTCTTGTACCTGTCATAACAAATCAGACTATATGAGGATGAGATCAACTGGCCCAACAGACAGTTTATGAAAATAGTCCTGGGTTAAAGTGTGTCAAATTCTGAGGATAACATTAATGTGTGATGAAAAGATCAGATCCGATTGCAAACATCAGTTGAAAATGAACAGAAAACTGACAGAAACACCCCAGGAATTAAGATGCTGAAACAAACCCTAAAACCCTAATTGGATGTAAGAAGAATAAGTAAAAATAATGAGCAACTGAAAAAAGCAGAATCTAACAGCAGAGAAGTATTGTCTCTTTATATTTTGAGTGCAAGAAACTGTTGATTAAACTCTGCAAAATTGTCAATGACTTCTTCACTGAATACTCATCCATCTTTGCAAATGTAAGTAAAATGTTCTACTGAATTTATTAATTTAAAATACTTCCAGTATATTGTTTAACTGCAGATTAAATATAGATCCTTGCATACAGATCCCCAATGATTTCACCTTGCATTCACTTATTCTCTCAGCTCAGGCAGACATTGCTTCTTGTTCTTGTGTAAACCATGAGTGGGAGTTGATATATGGTATAAAGCACTCCAGCAGACTTTTATAATGGGCCAACAAAGAAACAAATGTGCCCCAAATCCAGCAGTTCTGTATGGAGATTTCTTTTTTCTAACTCACAACCTCTTCCAACTTTATTTGCCTAAACTAATTTTATTCCAGAAATACCACATATAAATGCGTTGGGAGCAGAGAAAGCATTAATGCTAATGATTAATAGTAGCTTTGGTGGTACCCAGAAGAAGATATATTTTGATTTTAAAATGCGAGATCTGATTAAATGATTTCTGAGTCATTTTAAAGAACTCTTGCTCTAAACCTTGATACCTAGCAGTGATGACTATTTTCAGAATAATTAAATAAGGCCTGCTCTCCTAAACCAATTGTTAATATCCATATTGATTATGGATATTAAAACTTACAAGAGTCTGTTGTGAAAAATACTAAATAGGAGCTCATTATTCCTCTAAAGCTCTCTTTCAAAGACCTTTATCTGATTAATAACTTAAAAATGAGAATTATCCTCCAAGGGCCTGGTTCAGGGAGAGTGGTTAATGGAATTGTACAGTGAGCACCAGCGCCTGGCTATAGTTGATATTTACAAATGACAGTGCCTCTTTAGCGCCCTCTGGTGTTCCTCTCAGATCTCACCTCAGGCAGCAGCTCAATGCGCTCATAGCGTCTCCGGAAGGGTAGGCTGAGCACAGAACAGCGGTGGTATGGCATGGGGGGTGGCTGGCAGTCCAGCATCAGGTCTGAGCGGTGAGACTGGGTCGGAGGGGGCTGGGTGTACTGTTCTGGACACACAACATGGAGGGGCTGATGGAGAAAGAGAAAGCAAGAAAGTGAGAGAGAGAGTAATAAAACAAGGTCCGCTTAAATTAAAAAAAGAGGGCTTACCTTAAAGAGAGCTGTTGTAAATCCATAGCTCATAAATTAATACTGTAATTCATATTGTAAATCGATATAAAGTAAGCTTTAGTTTCTTTTCTGATCACCTTTAAACAAATTAGCTAAAACCGTTATGTTTAAAAACATTCAGTTCTTAAATTTGTACAGAGGAAAAAGTACTCAAACAGTTCTTAAATCATTAACATTCTTCTCTCCAAGACAGATTTTGACAAAATGGCTCTTGCCCTGGTGTCTTCCAGAACAAAATCATGAAATGCTTATTTTGGGGGGGTTTCGGGATCATGTATCTCTGCGCTGCTCACCAGCTAAACCCAAGACTGATTTTAAAATTCGTGTTCTAACATGCAAGGCCTTCTGGTCCCAGCCTAGTTAATGTACAGACTTTTTTGTCTTGTGGATGCATAAATCATAAATACACACAAAGGAGAACTGTAAATTCTGCTTTCAAATTGACGAACGGCACAGCTAGGACTAAAACTGTTAGCAGCTACAGTATGAGTTCATGTTATACCTACTTTTTAGGAACAGTACTAGGTACATATTATTGTGCGGCAAATCATTTTATGTTTTTATACATTTTTTATGTATTTTTATGTTGTACATGCTATATTTTATATTATAAATTTCTACATTTTTAAATTCATACAGACCAGGCTATAGAATAAGACTGTCCGATGGCAAGACCACACAGGTCTGGAAAGTACCAAACTTCATCTCCCCAAAATTAAGCCCCATCAAGCAAGAGAACACGTTGGTGCTAAATTTAAGAAAACTGAAGAATCTAACTACAAATTTCTTTTAAAAAAGTTACTGTCTTATTAAAGGGATTCTGAACAAAATAAGTCCCAGCAGTTCAGTACTTATCTTGATAAAAAAAGCCAATGCAAGTTAAGGAACAAGTAATAGGTTTATTCCATGCTGAAAAAAAGAAGAAAGAGAACACAACGTTTCGGCCGTGGAGCCTTCTCCTTTGCAGCCTACGCATGCTGACGCAGCTACCCACCTGAACTACAATGCAAGTTAATATGTTTTTTAGTTTTGATTTCTCAAAAATAAAAGACCAAAGTTTCTAACAAACAGAGAGGGGCACATGAATTCCAGTAACTAGAGACAGTGCTGGTTTTGAGACCCATGTGGTTACCTGAACTTCCTTGAGCAGTTTGGAGACCTGGATGAAGTTCAGTCTGGTGTCGATGGGACAGTAAACACACTTCATGGCGAGAGGTTGGTATGGAGCCAGAGCATCCAAATAAGAAAAGTCAGGCTCTGTGAAGATATAAGATAGGAAACACCCAATAAAGCACTGTTTTAGCTTCGGTAAATCCAAGCATATAGGCATCTGTTCTGTAAAACTATAATTAAATTGCAAGACCATTTTAATATGGAGCATTTAAAATAAAATGACATACAACTAAAAGAAAAGGAAAAGCACTGCTTTATATTCCTGTCCATTGCTATTTTTATCATAATAATTAATCATTTCCTGGTGTATATCTTTGATAGTTGTATTATTTATAAAAAAATAAATACATTTTTTATCAAAAAGTGTATTAACTATTTACAAAGTACATTCTGTCATCCACGACATGTCATTTTATACAAAAGTTCATTAATCATTTAACAATAGTTTGTTTGGGCTATTAGAGGAGTGGAAAGCAGCCATCTCTAGCTTCCTGACACTGTATGTTTGCCGTTTTAGTTGCATCTTAATAGTTATGGTAGTTGCACAATTCAATATGTTGAAGGTCAAGCTACTGACAAGTTTACTGAATAGCAGTGTGGAGAAGTAGTTTGGGCTCTGGGCTCATAACATGAGGTTTGTGAATTCAATTCCCATTTGATAACCATTGAAGAAGCCTTATCCAGATGGCTCCAGCAAACCTCCAGCTCCAGCAAATCTGTGAAATTAGTTGGTTAAGTCTGACTATGGTAAAGGAACATCATCATATACAACTTGCAGGTCAAGTGTCATGTGTGAGGATTTTAGATAACGAAATAAATTATATTATCCCTTTTCACCTCTTATGTTAAGGCAGAGCAAAATGTTCATGTTAATACGTCCCTATAACTATCTCTTAAACCTAAGCACCTACAGACACCACCTGGGAATATACGGTAAACACAATCCTATAGGTCCAAAAGGGAAAGAAATTAAATAACATGATCCACAATTAGAATCACCAGAAATTGTAACCTAGGCTTGATATAAGAAGTCTACAACCAACATAAATATTCTCTGTGAGATTAGCAGCAGCAACATACAGCAACAACCAATGTTAAAACTTTCTCAGAATTATATTTTTACAAAATGTTCACATTGACCCCTTAATTTTCAAAACTGCTGAGTATTTTGTATCATATTGTTCATCAGAAATTATCCCTAAGATTTTACACACCAAAGGGAACACATTTCATTCATCAGAGCTGTGTATCGCCATTTGCACTACAGCTGTTGTGCACTCGCAGCTTCTCTACACAGCAGAACAGGGGAAATGAGACAACACTTCTCCATTTGAATTAAGGAGGAAATTTAATTAGCTCTAATGTACAAGCCCAAAGTGGAATACAGTCAAGGCACAGGTGGGACATCCCTACTCTTAGTCCGTTAATTGCGGGTCAATATATATACCTCGCCTGCCAAACATCCATTTAGACTAGAGATAAAAGTTGTGAGTTATTCTCCCAATTCCAATATACTCCTATTAGGCACTAAGATTGTAACTTCCTTTTTCACAAGGTGTAGAGTGAGGTCTGCAATCATTTCTAACAGGGCTAAATATGTGGCATGTAATTACTTAATAAATTAGCCCTCACTTTCGACAGAGGTCCCATGGAATTGAAAAACGTTCACCAGCCCTTCATCAAGTTTTGTCTTCATACTCTGTGATTTCCCTTCCCCTCAGGAGTGTCTTACCAGTGAAGATGATGGTGTTTAGGCTGGACTTTCCCCACAGCTCCATGAAATGCACCACATCCCCGAAACGCAGTGAGGGGTGGCCCGTGAAGACCACACAGGGCTGCCTAAAGTCATTGCTGAAGTCTCCATGAATGCTGGGATAGTGTTTGAGCTTGTTAGTCTGGATAAGCTGAGACAGCAAACAAGAATGAAAAAAGAACAAATAATTTGCTAAAATCAACCAGAACCCTCCATTCATTAAACGTACATCAGACATATTTCCTACTTTTTAAATTCTGAGAAACAGGATAGTTATAAGGTCACAAAGCCTTGTAATCTGAGAAGAACATGTCTTTAACCATTCATCCATATTATTAGAAATTCAAAGGTTACGCACATGGAATAATGAATTTACGAATAGTAGAGGAAAAGAGTGCTCCTTACAGAGATGCAGATAACAGTTATAGTGCTTCGTGATGGTTTCAAGATTTTTATAACCCCTTTGTACACAGACATCAATTTTGGGGGAGGAAATGAGAAGTACACACACTACAGTAATTTCAGATTTTAAATACAAAAAAGCAAACAAAATAAACCTGTTAAGGCAATCAACTTCCATTTCCTTACCTCTGCATGGGGGAAGGGGGGCTCAGGGAGGTAGACCTTAGATTGTTTGTTGTGACAGAGCCTGGGATAAGAAAACATAACATTAATAATTATTAAGCAGACATAAATGAAACAAATGACCAACAGTCATGGTGAAAAAAAACATGATAATAACATACTCATAACCATGTAGACATTCATCCATAAACACGCTTGCCAAATTGTTTCATGTAAATCTGTCTGAAAGTCAGACAAAAGTCTCTCTCTAACTTTGTGGTCTAACCAAATTCTAACCCAAACATAACATTTCAGTGTATTACAGAGGCAAAACATAGCTTTTGTCTAATTCTTTTGACAGATTTGAATGGCTTCTGGAGAGGACATAATGATTCTAAACACTCCAACACAAAGAGCACCCTGGGAAGAAAAGACAGATGGTGATTTACCTTTTCAGTGAAGAAAAGAAAAATCTTCAAACATGCCAACATGTTCAGGTTTTAATTACTTGTCCTAATTAAATAATAAAACTGTTTAAAGACAAGTCATTTTCAGTTTACTGCATAATTAGTATTTCATTAAATCATTAATGACTACAACTCCCTTTTGGTCCTCTTCTAAGGAGAGTATTTATCATAGACAAGTGCAAAGCCAAGTCTCTGAAAACACCACACTTGGACAAGCCCCTGTAGCATTGTCTGGGAGGTCCTCACCATTCAGCGAAGATCTGAGAGAACTCCAGGGAGCTGTTAGCCACAGGGGAGATGAAGTAGAAGGGTGTGGAGCTGAGGTTTGCCGAGTCGATGAACTGGTAAAGACACTCCAGCAGGTCATAGATCACTCCAGAGGAGTAGCAGGGCACCAGCACATTACCTCCAGCACGGATAGTCATTGCTGCGAAGGATGGATACATTAGTACACTTGATAATTGTGAACGTACACAAAAGTATTGGGATGTACAGAACTGGGATGTGAAACATATCTTGGAAGAGTAATGTTGATATTGCATCTACAATATGCTCAGCAATGTGTTTATTTAGTCCCCTTTGTTGTGAAAAGGTATTTAAGATCTAGTGAGAAGCTTCCCGCACATTTCACTGTACAGAAATCCTACTTTATTCCTTACCCAGGTTGCTGCAGAACTCCCCTAGCATGCCATCGGGGTTGGCAGTGGGGATCTGTGTCAGGCCAGTTAGAATCAGCACATCGCTGTTCTTCAGAGAGCTCTGATCCATTGGCTGCAACACAACAGGCGTGTCAATGAACTGATGTCATTTATTTCACAGTAAATCACTTTTAAAGACATGTTTTCTGCTCAGTAGGATAATAGATTTATTGACAAAACAAAAAAAACATTTTTCTATGTCTGCAACAACAACATCTCGATTTTCTTGTTTTTAATACCAGGTTGGCTTGGTATTTAACACTCTTTAACACTTACTGTAGCACAGGAAAACATACTGTAACTCTTCAAATCCACTCCTATGTCAAACTTTTAACAGAACCGCTTGAGCAGCTTTCATCGAGAATGTCAGAGCAGTCATGGTTAATTTTAGGCATAATTAGTTATTTCTGCTAGTGTTGTTTTCTAACATTTTAAAAAGGAACCATGTGAAAAATTTCAGCAATGCTCAGTGATCCTGAATAGTTTACTGTTTTGTCAGCTCAAGAAAATTCCTTCTGGGTAGTCACATGTTTATGTACTTACAACAACAAAACTGTTCTCTTTGCTACAGAGATTGCTACATTACCTGTGGGTGTGTGGTGAGCAGTGAAGATCCAGACACATAGGACACTTTCTCATAATGTGACTGGATGATCCAATTGGAACTACCCAATGCATACCCAGAACTCAGAGGGGTGATTTGCACGGCACCAAATAGCTCCTGGTGAGAACAAAACATAAATGAAACTGTGGACATACATGTCTTAAAATTATTAAACCCCATTAAACTCTAATCAGATTAATCTGTTGAAATATAATAAGATTCTATTTAAATCATGAGGCAACAGTGTAGCATGTAAACAATCAGAGGCTCCTATATAGGCACGATATTTGGCTTGGAGATCTTCTCCGGGTTTAAATGTATGTTCTTGAAATTTGGAATAATTAAGCTTTAAGAATGCTGCAGAGTGTTGCTCTAAAGAAAGGTTAAAAAGTAGCCAAGTCCATGAGGCTTATCTTGGAAGTTTGGTAGGAGCTGATTGGCAAGGGTTTTATTCAACTGTTCTGTGAAAGAAACCAGGGTATCAGCGTTGACAACATACCTGAGTAGTTTGTTCCATAATCCCTAGTTCTATTAAAATCGAGTGGGACATTAGGAGTGGCAGCATGCCAAAGCTCTCTTTAATCAGCACATAAATTGCACAAAGCACCATTTAAATATAAAAGTTAAATAAAATCCTATTTTTACAGATGGCATACACATTTTCCACCGTAACTATGAAATAGCTGACATGTCTGACAAGTCATACTGCACATACTGTAGCACCCATTCATTAATTCACCACATGTAGCCCTGGAAGTATCCTGAAATTCAGGTTAGTCCCCTTCCAGCAGTACAGCACAGGCAGCAGTAATTAGACTGTGACAGGTACTTAGAAACTGAAAACCATCCCCATGCAGAGGAAACCTGTCACCCAAGAAAATTACATGTTTCAACTTACGATTTTCTGAGAGTATCCAACAAGCTGGACTTTGCTTAGGGCAGAGTTCACTTCCTGCATGCTATAACATCGCTTCCAGGTCCACACTTCCAATGCATCCTTCAATGGAGCTGGGAGCATCCTGGAACACATAGTACACACTGTATATCACACCTGAAGAAGGCTTCGCAGCCTAAACATATCTTTCTTCTCTTATCAGCATGGAATAAACCTTCACTTATTCATTTGCAGCCTATGCATGGTGACACAGCTACCTACTTGTACATATATCACAGCAACAATACCATAAATTATTTGTGTCTGATTTCATAAAATTAGTGAATAATCACTGTGAAACAGCAAAACCCATCTAAATAGATCTTAAGAAATACCAGTGATCTTTAGAACTGTGAAATTATTTCATGCCCATGCATGATTTTAGCAGGTATAACGTTGGTATATATGATGCTGTATCTAACTGATGCGCACATTTGTGGATTTAAACAAAAAGAACTAAAAGATCAGAGTACAAAGAAAATGTTGACTTGTGCAGCATGCTTTGGCCTTCCATCTCCTGCACAGTGCTGAACAATTCCAGAGGGTGGAATTCTGAACTGGCTGTATAATTTATACCTCTGTATTTCCTTGTTTTTCCAGCAGGTGGCACAGTGGGCCTTAGGAACCCTCTCCATGAATGTCACCAGCTCTTCCATGAGCAGTCTGGCAGGAAAACAAAAACACCCAAATGCTAATAATTATGGTTAGCTCAGTTAGCCAGCCTATATACAAATATATGCACCACTCCTGATCTTGGGGTAAAAAGCACTGTAATCCAGTTTAATCAAACTATTTATTCAGGTTTAAAGTGCCCTTGAAAACAAAGGTAAGAGAACGGCTACACATCTCACAAGTATGATTAGACAGATAAACCATATAATCTGTGATGAAACACAGGACCCTGCATCACCCGCCCCAAGGGGGTTCTCTGACCCACATATTTGAAAACTTTTAAAATCTTATTGGAAATTGTTGTGAATCTTCTAACTGAATTGGCAGGTTTTATCTCATTTGAGCCAGCACCATATCACCCTGCAACTCACAACTGACAACCCACTGAAGCTAAGCAGGTGTGAGCCCAGTCAGTACCCGGATGGGAACCTCCTGGGAAATCTAAGGGTGATGCTGGAAGAGATGTTAGTGGGACCAGTAGGGTGTGCTCACCCTGCAGTCCGTGTGGGGCGTAATGCCCCAGTAAAAAGGCGCTGTCCTTCAGATGAGAAGTAAATCCGAGGTCCAGACTCTGTGCTCATTAAAATTTCCAGGGTGTTTCTCGAAAATAATTCCCATTGGCCTTCACTAATCACGGCATCCTACGAATCCCCATCTATGAATTGGCCTCTTTACTCTGCTCCCCACTAATAGCTGATGTGTGGTGAGCGTTCTGGTGCTCTATGGCTGCCGTCGCATCATCCGTCGCAGGTGGATGTTGAACATTGTTGGGGGGGGGGGGTGTCCCCATTACCTGTAAAGCACTTTGAGTGGAGTGTCCAGAAAAGCGTTATATAAGCGTAAGGAATTAATGGAAAAAAAAACTATGTAAGCTATTATTATTACTATTATTAACAAGCAAAACTATTTCTGACTTGTAAAAATAACTGTAGGAACTTGTGAGGTACATTCACACTAGGGTTACCTAATCCTTAGTGAAACTTGGCCTGTTATGGATTATTCTACTTCTTTAAAACCCGCTCGGGCAATTAAACCTGGTAAGTAAACGTCCAGTAACCCCAGGATGAAAAGTAAAAGTAAGGTTCTTGCGTAAGCCAAGGTGGCCTTCTATCCATATTTTCATTTTGTTTTATGTTTAAGTGCGCAGTATGTACTGAACCACTTTACTCCGCCTGTTCAAAAACTGTCACGATTTAATTTTTAACTTAGCAATTATTATTCCAGACTCTAGAGACTCTGCAACAGCCTTCTTGCATAAACTAAAAGGGCTGCATAACTGCCTTTTTAAGTCTTAATTTAAATAACCTTTGATCTGCAAATCATTGGGTTAAGTGACACTTTTTAGCCTCAAAATCCCTCCTATTCAAAAACTGTTTGACCAATTAACTCCAAAATTTGAAGGTGTAACTTACTTTACTGGGCATAAGCTTCTGTGTAAACCTAGATGGTCTACAGATTGCCTTTTGTTCTTGTTGACACAGGGCCTAAACTACAGACTGCCCCTGTTCAAAAGCCAATTAACACAAAAGATGGCCACCCACTGCCAAAATTACTTTGCTCTGTTTTAGAAACAGCTATACCGATTTAATTAAGTCTAAGTATAAGATTCCATCAATATCACAACCTGATTTTAATTTGCACCTAATTTACAACTAATATTTGGCTTTATTACATTATTTTAGCACTGCTGATTTTCTTGATGCATCATAGCTTTTGCTTTTGTGGAGACAATTATGCATTAATAAATCTTTTAAGTAGTTTTAAATCTCTTCACAGTTGTTGCATCTCTAACAGATTGGGGCAATAAATACTGCATGGGAAGCTGCACAAGAGAAGGCTCCACATTGTGGAGAGTGTGGCCTTTAGTAAAATAAGAGCACCTGAATCAGCAGGCAAAGCACTGACCCTTAACACTGGGGCACAAGGTTTCTCCCCTCAATCAAGGGCTTAATTTCAGCACCATCAATGACACTGAAATGGCAATCTTCCTTTTGCTGTTATTGGAAGCCAAAAAGCTTCATATTGTAATTTAAAGAAATACATGTTGCATCCACATCTTAATATCAGACAGGTAAAGTTCAGGAACCTCAGTGGTAATATTTCATTTAGTTTGCAAGCAACTTTTAGTGTCAGTATAGCGGTGAAATTCAAGCCCCGAGTGATGAATAATATACACATGAATTCATGTTATTTTGCTTTATTATACTATTTCACAACAAAGGAGCTGGCTTGGAAGCCTTCAATACTGTGTAAAGTTTTCTAGTTGACTATTATTTATTAAGCAAGACTGAGTAATTAGAATTTTTGAGACAAAACACTAATACGAAATTCTGAACGTCCTATAGTTAAAAATAACAGATCAAAGAATAAAGCAATAGAATACAATGTGCCTAGAAAACAATGTAGTAATTCCATAGTCACTTAACAGTAAGCAACTACTGTTGATTTACACTTATGGGAGATACACCAAAGCAAGCCAGACATAGCCTACAGGCAGAGAGGGGGAGTAAAGTTTATCAGGTAGCACGTGAGGAAAAGGACAACAGGAAAGCACAGGATATTATTAATCATCACAAAAGCCAAACTTGGAAATACATTTACAGTATTTAATATGAAGTAGTATTTGGTTACATTACTTTAACTTTAAGACTCCCTGACTTCTTATAGTACATGAGGCCAATATGTTCATTTTTCCTTCTAACTACAGACACATAAAACTCTCCTTGCTTCTGCAGGTGTAAATGCACCACTAATCTAATTTA